CACGGCATCCCGATCGACCTGCTGGACCGACTCCTCATCATCACAACATCACCCTACGATGAGAAGGAGATCAAACAGATCCTCAAGATCAGGTAGGAACCACATCGCTTGTTGTTACATTGGCCGAGTGTCATGTGGTGGAGGTGAATTGCTCTATCTGAATCCCCCATTAACCCAGTGCTGTGTTGTGCAGGTGTATTGCTCTATCTGAATCCCCCATTGTGTTGTGTGGTGCAGGTGTATTGCTCTATCTGAATCCCCCATTGTGTTGTGCGGTGCAGGTGTATTGCTCTATCTGAATCCCCCATTAACCCAGTGCTGTGTTGTGCAGGTGTATTGCTCTATCTGAATCCCCCATTGACCGAGTGTTGTGTGGTGGAGGTGTATTGCTCTATCTGAATCCCCCATTGTGTTGTGTGGTGCAGGTGTATTGCTCTATCTGAATTCCCCATTAACCCAGTGCTGTGTTGTGCAGGTGTATTGCTCTATCTGAATCCCCCATTGTATTGTGTGGTGCAGGTGTATTGCTCTATCTGAATCCCCCATTAACCCAGTGCCGTGTGGTGGAGGTGTATTGCTCTATCTGAATCCCCCATTGTGTTGTGTGGTGCAGGTGTATTGCTCTATCTGAATCCCCCATTAACCCAGTGTTGTGTGGTGCAGGTATATTGCTCTATCTGAATCCCCCATTAACCCAGTGTTGTGTGGTGCAGGTGTATTGCTCTATCTGAATCCCCCATTAACCCAGTGTTATGTGGTGCAGGTATATTGCTCTATCTGAATCCCCCATTAACTGAGTGTTGTGTGGTGCAGGTGTATTGCTCTATCTGAATCCCCCATTGTGTTGTGTGGTGCAGGTATATTGCTCTATCTGAATCCCCCATTAACCCAGTGTTGTGTGGTGCAGGTGTATTGCTCTATCTGAATCCCCCATTAACCCAGTGTTGTGTGGTGCAGGTGTATTGCTCTATCTGAATCCCCCATTGACCCAGTGTTGTGTGGTGCAGGTGTGAGGAAGAAGATGTAGAGATGAACGAGGACGCCTTGACAGTGCTCACCCGCATCGGGATGGAGACGTCGCTGAGATACGCCATCCAGCTCATCACCACCGCTAGTCTGTGTTGTCGCAAGAGGAAGGTGAGTCACTAGCATGTGGTCTTTAGACCCAGACCTGGGTGAGAAGTGGTCCCCGTAACCTGTACTTGTACAAGTCTGCTGAAGTGTATTGGGTGTCCGCCATGGCTGATGGCAGGTCATCATGCCTCAATCCAGGGAGGCCGACATCAGGTCGCCACACGCCAGTCACGCCGAAGACCCGGGTTCGATTCCCGACATGGGTACAATGTGTGAAGCCCATTTCTGGTGTCTGCCTTCGTGATATTGCTGGAAAATTGCTAAAAGCGGCGTTAAACCATATTCACACATGCCTTCAGTCACTGGTTTGTCTGGTCCAGACTCAAATGGGGACACAGGTGGCCCATTCGTCTAAGGCGCTGCAATTCCCTGTGCAGAGTTGTGTCCATTGGGCAAGTCAGTAACCTATGATTGTGGGTTCGAATCCCGGTTCATTGTTTCTGGGTTTGTCAGCACCATACCCTGTGCTCGTGGGTTATACTGAAATGGTAAGTGTCTAAGACCTGCATTACTTTACCCCCCCCCCCATTAAGCTGACACACCGTGATATTTCAAGAATACTGTTACAAGCGGAGTTAAACCCATCTTACTCACTCCAGACTCTCATATTTCAGGCTGCCATGATATTGCTGACTGCAGCAAGAAACATTCACTCACTCATTCACAGGTGTTCATATCTCAGGCCCACGTACATCAATGTTTAGTTATTGAGAAGGACTATTTGACATGTGCATGGCCTCACCATGCAGAAGTTTTTTTGTTTGTTTGTTGTTTAATGCCGCACTATTGCTGATTGTAAAAAAATCGAGTCTGGACCAGACAATCCAGTGATTGATGTCATGAGCATCAATCCACACAATTGGGATATGATGACATGCATCAACCAAGTCAGCGAGTCTGACCACCCGATCCCGTTGTCGCTTCTTACAACAAGCATACTGGAAACCTATTATACCCCCGATCTTCACGGGTCGTTCACCATACAGAAGTGTCTATCACCGATGTGATGTCCACAGAATGATAGCTGGAAAATAATGACAATGTATCCACTGCACTTGAAACAAGAAGTATGATACAACTCCTTTGTGCATTCTCAATGGGGATTCCGGGTTAAAATTGATCCCCAGCAACCTATGCTTGTTGTAAGAGCTGATGATAGACTGATGAGTTAGACTCAGTGATTTGGTTGATTCTGTCTTCATACCCCAGCGGTGTGGACTGTTGCTTATACCAATATCAATCACTGGATTGTCTGGTCAAGACTGATTATTTACAGCTTGAATAGCTTGAATATTGCCGAGTGCAGCGCTAAACAACAAACAAAGTGGTGGCTAGTTCCTTTCAAAAGTTCACCCCGATTATGTTTCTAGGTTTGTCAGCACCAAACCCGTGCTCGTGGGTTTCACCGAAATGGTAAACGTCTGAAACCTGCATCACTTCGGGCTTTCCTCCCACATTAAGCTGACACGCCGCGATATGACTGGAATAATGTTAAAAGCGGGGTTAAACCCCACTCACTCACTCACTTGTATATGTATCAATCACCTAAAGTCAAGATATACTCTCCAAAATAATGTATACAGAGTATTAATACTCACTCACTCACTCCTTTCAAAAGTATGAAAAAATAGTTTGCTAATTGTAGTTTGGATGACTACTAGTGCTGAGTTAATGTTTGTGTGCTGTTCTCAGGGGGCCGAGGTGGATGTGGATGACATCAAACGAGTTTACTCCCTGTTCTTGGACGAGTCAAGATCAACGCAGTTCTTGAAGGAATACCAGCAGGAGTTTATGTTCAACGAGATGCCGGAATCAGGTAGTTATAACACCTGTTGAATGTAGCTCTAAACAGTCTATATTCAGGCCCGTGAGATCTCCGCGATTCCAACTGTTGCTAATAATGACACTCAATCCTCGCTCAATAGCCTCTATTCTTTGAAATGGATTTCCATAATTTGAAAGTGCCCAAATTAAAACAGTACTTGATGAAATATACCATTACTACATGTGGATGGAGAGAACATAATCAAGTACATCCATTTGGTAACTTCAATTGTGTGTTTATCAGATCTTGATGCCAAATGTTTGTTGTATTGATAAACTTGATACTCTTACAATTATTTTACAATGGATAGATTTTCATTGGAAATTCAACTGAAGCTACTTCAATTGATTTTTCAAAGTTTTGACTAGGAAAAATACCTCATACTGCTTGTCATTCAATTTAGTATGGTAACCAGTTAATGGAGTTGGGAATGTGTGATGGGAGTAGTCAAAGTTATATCTGTCAGATCTTTGGTTTCCAGGAGAGTCAATGGAAACAAGCTGATGGCAGACGCAGTTGGCAGCCATATTGGATCTGACAAAGGACTTCATTCCATGCTGGGCAGTCTCATTGTGTTCATCATTGCAAACTTGTACAAACTTTTATAATAAAACTCAAAACTACAATCTTATTTTTTCTTTGAGTACATCAGTAGAGATGCTGCTTAATGTATCATTTTGTGGGTTGTTTGGAGGTGATCATGACGAATATGTAACAATGTCCGTATGTGTCTGTTGTTAAACGTTGCACAACAGTTTCCCAGCCATATGACAGTGGCCTGTAAAAAACTGACATACTGGACACACAGGAAACATGATGGTTTTCCGCCTTTCATATGCATTTCCTGCCAACTATTAGATATGTTGGCAGCGAAGAGGATGTCTGTTGAAAATTCAAAAAGATGTGTAGTATGATTTACAACCTAAACAGGAATTTATGGTTATGATGTTATAGATGTAGGCTGTTTAAGAATTGTTGATATTGTGAGCAACGGTCCACGTCATTGGGGCACCATGGCATGCAATCAACCCAGCCATCAAGTTGTCATGGTTACCCAATCACTGCTCATGCTATCACCCACTGGTTTGGCTGACCCAGTTATGTATGCAATGTTTTAGATGTACCTCTAGGAGTACTGCCCAAAATGTTATCATCTGTGAACCAAAATACTGTAGATATTACAGCAGCATGGAGATTACACTTGAAAATATCACACAAGGAGTAGACAACACACATATTTATTTTTATAAACATAGAAATGAGAATCCACAAAGAATGACCGCAGGATCGACATGCTGGCAGACACAACCATGTTGGTGAAATCCAGATGGAAATGTTCCCAATGAATTCATCTCATTTTTTACAAACGTCTAGAAAAATGAGTGGTGGGTAATGTCCCTTTGTACTGACATCCCCAACAGAAGGTGAGTGAGTGAGTGAGGTTTTACGCCGCTTTTAGCAATATTTCAGCAATATCATGGCGGGGGACACCAGAAATGGGCTTCACACATTGTACCCAAGTCGGGAATCGAACCCGGGTCTTCGGCGTGACGAGCTAACGCTTTAACCACTAGGCTACCCGACCGCCCCCAACAGAAGGTGAGTGATTGAGTATGGTTTTACGCCGCTTATATCAATATTCCGGCAATATCACGGCAGGGGGACACCAGAAATGGGCTTTACACATTGTACCCATGTGGGGAATCAAACTAGGGCGTGACAAGCAAACGCTTAAACCACTAAGCTACCCCACCGCCCCAACCACAGACTAGGGAAACAAGTGGTAACAATGGTTGATCATCACGAACATTAACGATTGTAACTGCTTTTATGCAACCGTCTACAGCTGCTTGAGAACCTGACACACTGACCAGTCTTGAAATCATGCAGAGATTAATCTAATGAGACCCACCAGGAGAAAAGGAGACTTATGGGTGCTAGGATACAATTGTGCTGTGACATAAAGAAAGATGTTTGACATCAAATTGCTTTTGTAAAGATCGCCATGTACGATGACTGTTAAAAAATCTTATTTTTCTCGTTAGTTCGTAATGTAAGAAAAAAAATATTTCAATACATTTCAGCATAGATGTCTATGTTCAATAAAATCAGACATACTGACTAATTGCTATCATTACATAAACAGTCATAAGTCTGAAAATGGGACTTTGCAGAAAATAAATCCAAATGTTTCACGCCATGTAGCTCTGTAATAAATATGAACTTAAACTTAATATAAACTGCAATTTTCTGGTCCTAAGGTTCTGTAGTTTTAAAATATTAGAAAGCAAAATGGGATTTTTCATCCATAAGGACCCTTATTTCCAGGTGGGTCACTAATTGGACGGTTCCCCCATGTATTCTGTGAAAAGGCGACAAGAAAAGTTCCTCATATATTGGGGGGCGGGAGAATCACACAAACTTACATTTGTGCATCTATGGATGCCTTCTAGCAAAAAGTTCTTTCTGCCCTTCACAGACAAGACAACCAGGCAGGCAGACTGTGGAATAATCCTATCATGAACTGGGACTGGATGATGACGATATTGTCATGAATAGACCATAACAACCTCTCATTCACTGTGTTAATAACTTCAATTTCTTCATTGAATTATTTATGCATTCCTGAAGTTAGCAATCAACAACATTGGTCATGTTTTACACAACTGAAACTGTGTCTGTGCAAATATTCCCAGGTTAATAATGTAATTGGGAGATCGTGCACTGATACATCATACTGTGGGACTCCAGCAGCCCGTGAGTGAGTATGGTTTTACGCCGCTTTTAGCAATATTCCAGCAATATCACGGCAGTGGACACCAGAATTGGGCTTCACACATTGTACCCATGTCGGGAATCAAACCCAGGTCTTCGGCGTGACGAGCGAAACGCTTAACCACTTGGCTACCCAACCACCCAGCAGCCCCAGAGTTATCTCTGAAAGTGTAGCAATACCTAGACTGATAATAAAATCCTTCAGTTTTCATACCATATTCATTAAACAAAACTAGCCCATGCTTACACTATGATCTGTGTTTGCATTGTGACCCTGCTGTGTCCTGTTCAACAGAGCTATCAGCACTCTGACTACTGTAGATCTATAAGTATCGTCAGGTCATAGGTTTTTGGAAGCAAACGTTTTCGGACGGCCATGTTTACTACAATTACTTGCACTATAACAAGATGTGTGGCATCACACAGACATTGTAAATACTCAAATGATGGCCTTTTTTTAAGATAAAGTCGTTTGTTATAAGTGAGTGAGATGTTTTACAGTTGTTCTTGTGATTGACGAGAAATTTACAAATGTTTCTTAGGCGTCCAAAAACCCCAAACATGTACGACATTTGTAAGATTCATGACACAAGTCCCTGATGCGCTAAATTCGTACAGTTCCAATCGTAGAAAATTGTAGCTTGATGGTTCCACTGGCATGTCTGACAAAATGAGGATATAATGTGCAAACTAACAGACTTGTCATAATTGCTCCGACTATAACAACTGCACAGTCAAGCCTGTCCATGTCAAACATGTATAAACTTGAGTCTCCAAGTAACCGACCGCCGCCATCACTCCACACCGAAGTGGGCACTAATGGCATCAATTAAGTCGGCCTTCTTCGACCCTGATGATGGTATCTTCTCTTTCTTGATGTATTCCTTCAGCACTGCTACAGTTAGTTTACCCAACTGGAAAATAGGAACACATATCCTTCAGAATACCATTCCCCTCCACCTCACTTGGGAAGCAGGTACATCTAGGCTAGTCTTACCCACGATCTAGCTTGCTTTAATTATAAACAAATTCTCCACTAGGAATATTGTAAAGTTGTGATTGATTGAATCATCCTAACCGATCGATCATCAAAGTGAAACTAAATCATGCCTAACATAACCACTTCAGTTCTCATCTGATCTATTTAGCCGCCTTGTACATTTTATCCTGCTTTTGATGCTTTTTTGTGACTGTGTGACGCATGAAATTTGGCAAAACTTTGGAGTTTATACCTGCATCATAATATCCTAACAAGCATAAAATACTCACATCCCCCGCCAATATGACATGTCGGGTGTGTGCAATACATTAGCTCCTGTGAACTATGTTCAATGGGCCTTTTTGTAAAGAAATATAGTACGTTTTTCAAGATCTGCTCCGGAAACGAGGACTACCTCCATTTTCAGTCTTAATCAAAGTCGTTGCCATGGAAACTCGAAAAATAACTTTTAAAAAAAAATCCAAAACTATCCAAAGGCACCAGTTCACCACTAGACCTATCAATGTGCCAAGTTTGGTGAAGAAATATGGTACGGTTTTCAAGATCTGCTCCGGACGGACGGACGGCACCCATTCCTATATCCCGCTTCCACATCGTGGCGGGGGATAATAACTTATTTCAACATGAGCTCTGGAGTTAGTAGATGAAACAACCCCACTTAATGTTATGTAAATGTGTATCATGGTGTCCCTGGTTCTGCAGGAGACGGAGCAAGGGACCTACCCGGCCAGCCTGGGCCTCCTTCTTGATGTCGAGGTCCACCATTGTCATAGCCAGCTTGGCTGCCTTGGCTGCGGCCGATTCACTCGGGGCGGCCTGAAGCACATCATGGCATGGAACATTCAAAACTTTCATAGTCAGTCCTTATCCCCTCCCAATCACACCCATTTTCAGTCTTATTGTACCTTATTATTGAAAGAAGCCGTGTCTGTACACAGTGTGCAAAAAATATTCTGGAATGTCCTGGCTACATAAGTCTTAACAGTTGATTTCTTATGCACACCTGTTAGTTCTCCAGCTTCTGTTGATCAATACAATCAACAAAATTTTAAAAAGAAGAAGACCAATTTAATATGCATAATGTATCCAGGTTGAAAAAATGCAAGATCAGAGTTACCCCCCTTCATAATATTTGACTCATGGGTTTACTTTATTGACACCGTCACAGAATCAAATTTCTAGAAAATTAATCGTCACATATTTAAGCTAGTGATATTTGAATCTGTCTAGTTACTTTTGAGGCTAGCTAGTCAGCAACGTTTTGAGACTATTTCACACATTGTCTTCACACGTGCGAGCGAGCGAGCGAGCATGGTTTTTCTCTGCTCTAAACAATATTCCACAGTGGGGAACACAAGAAATAGGCTTCACACATTGTACCCATGTGGGGAATCGAACCCGGGAATTCGGCGTGACAGGTGAATGTTTTAACCACTAGGCTACCCCAACCCCTGTCTAGCGCTGGTGTAGGTGTCACAATGGACTCTGTCATTCCTCACCTTCCTCTTGGCACCAGGGACATAGTCTTCAGGGAACACGAGGTCCTTGAAGTCATCAATAGTGTTCCCAGCTCGCTTCTTCATCTTCTCATCCTTGGGCACTGGAGATTAGAGCAAAGTGAATGTTTGAGGCAGACTGAAAGTTTTGTTTGTTTGTTTAACGCCACACTCAGCAATATTCCAGCTATATGAAAGGGGTTTGTAAATAATCAAGTCTGGACTAGACAATCCAGAGATTGATATCATGAGCATCGATCCTTACGATGACATGTACCAACCAAGTTAGTGAATCTGACCACCCAATACTGTTAGTCGCATCTTACGACAAGCCTGGGTTGCTGAAGACCTTTTTTCTACCTGGATTTTCATGGGTTCAGAGTGAATGAACAACACAGCCAGCTATTTTGTAAAAATCCTGGGCACCTTTAAATAATTAAGTGTGAGCCAGGTCAACCAGCATCTGACACTATGGAGGAAAGGTGCTACACTCACACCATCAGAGTTAGGGTGAAACCACACAGCCAGGTCACGATACGATACTTATCACGATACATAGGTCACGATACGTATCACGATACGCATATTTACATTGAATCGCATGGTAACTCATCTCAGTCTCATTAAAATCAGATCTTAGTTCTCACTATCGCTAAACAAAGATCTGAGGACATCCCATTACGGGTCACGTCAGAACGACCTTTCATCCGACCAATCAGAGCGTAGCTTACCAGATCATGAAAGTGACAGTCGGAATGTGTTTTCTAATCATGCAACCTCGAAAACGTTAACTCGGGGTATTCCAAATGGTTACGGCCTATACGACTGATTCTGTCAAAGTCATCATCCAACTCACGCTTCCATGGGATAAACATTTGAATGGAAGAGACGTTGCAAAGGGGGGAAGCACTGCCATACAATCTCAACCATATATTAGACATTCCAAAATGTTTGTTTGTTCAGTTTTCAAAATTTTAATCGAGAGCTGTGTCAACACATTTTTCAAGCGGTCTAAAATTGAAGTCGCCAGCTTGAAGCGAGTGTCATAAAGCTCAAGAAAGCTGTTTTCTAATTGGCTGATCTTGGTCAAATTCTTGTTAGTAATTTCAGTGGTCAGTCAAAGTTCGCAAAAGGTCGTTCTGATGTAACCCGTAATGGGATGTCCTCAGATCTTTGTTTAGAAACAGCGAGAACTTAGATCTGATTTTAATGAGATTGGGAAACTTCTTGACAATAAATATTTCAGAGCAGATTGAAAAGGAAAAGCCAGCTGTTGAGACATGTTCGTTGTGGCTATTTCAGTAGTGAACGCTAATTACAACACATTTTGCGATATCTGACTAACAAAAATGCCAGGGGTCATTAAACGAATAGCGAGTAATTTATTTCATCAAGTGTATCGTCTTGTATCGATACAGAAATAACGTATCGTGTATTTTATCATCACAAACACTCATGATGCACCGGTGCACGGATATATCGTTTCCCCCTTTATCAGAGTAGGATGATGTGGAGGTAAACCTAAGTGATGCAGGTATCCCCTTGGGGAAACTAACGAATATGTATATGGAGCAGACAAACCTGGAATCATAATCCGTGCCAACCAGGATTTAAAACAAATAGCGGCGCCTCACTCTCATCGAGCTGATGTACATATCTTACTTACTGGTATAGTCGACCAGATCGTCCGGAGCATCCCTGTCCAATGCCAGAGCCTCGATGTTCCGCCAGTGGTTCTGCAGGACGGGGTTCTCGAAGGACTCGCTGCTGAACTTAAACTGCAGTTTCTTGATCACCTCCTTGGCCTTGTCGATCTGCTCTGTGGTTGCTGCAACACCATCACACGCATGGGTTATCTCCCTTTCCACCAGTTCAGCCATATTGCATATGTTCCAAAATCCTAGTCCTGTTTTATATACGGTTTGGGTTGGTTTGGTTGTTGTTTGACGCCGCACTTAGCATTATTCCAGCTATATGACGGTGTTCTGTAAATAATCGAGTCTGGACCAGACAATCCAGTTATTGATATCATGAGCATCGATCCACGCAATTGGGACGGATGACATGAATCGACCGAGGCAGCGGGCCTGACCACCTGATCCCTTTAGTCTGTTTTACATACTCACTGACTTATTAATCCAGGATGTTGACAGACAATGTAACTTATAAGTCGGTGAATTGTTAAAATGCACAGAAATGGGTTCATGAACATGGAGCATTCTAAACCAAGTTCAGATATTTGGCTACTGTCAGGGATATGCTATTTAAACAGAGTTGATGGGAGTAGTCCTTACCTCTTGGACAGTCCTCCGCTGGCACCTTGCGGAAGTCGTCGGCGAAGGGCAGGAAGATGATGTGGAATCCTGGAGGGGTGGTCTGTACCTTGTGCTCGTCCACCTCCTCCTTCTGCAACAGTGAGTGAGTGCGTTAGTGAGTGAGTGAGTCATTTATTGCATGGGTGAGTAATTGTGTGATTGCTTGATTTCTTGGGTTAGTGCTTGAGTTATTGTGTGTGTGTGTGTAAGTGCTTGCATTACTGATTGGTTCAGTGACTGATTGCATGAGTTAGTTAATGCATGGGTGAGTGATTGAGTGAATGATTGATTGATTGTGTGATTGTGTGTGTGAGTGAGTGCTTGCATTAGTGATTGTGTTATTGAGTGATTGTGTGATTGACACTGTGAGTGCTTGCGTTAGTGATTGATTGTTTGAGTGACACTGTGAGTGATTGAGTCCTCGCATTAGTAATTGATTGTTTGAGCAATCGTGTCTGTGATTGTTTGAGTGAGTGATCATGTGTGTGAGTGAGTGCTCTGACAACAATGAAACCCCTGTGGTTATAAAGACTTACCTGTGGCATCAAAGCAACAAACTTGGGAGGATTGTTTTTCCCAGGAATGTATTTACAGATGGGTGCAACATCCCGGTCGAGACATTTTCTTAACAGTGCCGTGAACACAGTCGTGCTACCAGCGTAAGTCTGAAATATAACAAAGTTAACAGTAAAAGACAAGTTGTCTTTCTCCGGGATCATGTAGGACTACAGTTGTGATTGTTCCTCCAGTATGCCTTCCGTCGTTAATGAATAATTGGAAATTACAGACTTCTTCCAAAGATTCTAATACAAACAATGAACACTTGTACTTATACAAACAGTAGCAGTTCCTTCAGCGCCCCTTTTGTCAGCTTCAAAAGTCTTAAAATACACCATGTGAAACTATTTGTTCCAGACTTTGAACCCAAGATGTTTAATTGTTAGTAACCTGCCCGGCTGTCAGCATTAAGGGGCTAAAACAAAGACTGGTCGACATGGATTCAATTTACTGTCTAGGATATTCACATTAAACTGCAGCATGGTATCAGCACTATTAAACCAGCACTAGTCCGTACTATTAAAAGTAGCCACACACACACATGCACATCGCCATGTAACTGCAATAATCTGGAATGTGATGCTAAATCCCATTTCACCTCCCCTCATCTAGGACATATCTAGAACTCAACTATGACATATCTAGGACTCAACTATGACATATCTAGGACTCAACTAGGACATATCTAGGTCTCAACTAGGACCCATCTAGAACTCAACTATGACATATCTAGGACCCATCTAGGACCCATCTAGAACTCAACTATGACATATCTAGGACTCAACTAGGACATATCTAGGACTCAACTAGGACCCATCTAGAACTCAACTATGACATATCTAGGACTCAACTAGGACATATCTAGGACGCATCTAGGACCCATCTAGAACTCAAATATGACATATCTAGGACTCAACTAGGACATATCTAGGACTCAACTAGGACATATCTAGGACTCAACTAGGACTCATCTAGGACCCATCTAGAACTCAACTAGGACATATCTGGGACTCAACTAGGACATATCTAGAACTCAACTAGACATATCTAGGACCCATCTAGAACTCAACTATGACATATCTGGGACTCAACTAGGACATATCTAGGAATCTCTAGGACCCATCTAGGACCCACTTACACTCTCATCAGGGTACAGGAAGGAGGATGGTTTAACATGGTGATGTTTCTTTATGGAGGTCCGAGGCTTGAACCCCATCAGTGTGAGACCTGAAAGAAGATGTCACCCCTAAACTCAGGGACATTTATTCAACTTCCAGTGGCTAATAATACCACAAAAGTTAAGTACAAGATGTACATAAGCATTAATCAGCAATATTTCCTGTGCTGTAGAATAGTGACATATCATAGTTTGGTATTTGTTTATTGCCAATTACTTGAACATATTTGAAAAGAATGCTCTAATTGAAAAAATAAACTTTTCTTATTCATGTTCGAACATTAATCAGTGATTGATGATTCATAATACTAATGACAACAGTTCACTACACCTCTGCTATGTCATGATGACCTACGATCAATTTATGCAGCCAATTTTACATCGTTCCTCATTTGCAGTGGTTCCCAGCTGAGAGCAGACATTCCTCTCCAGACTTACTGAAGTACTAAAGGGAGACGACTCACCTGAAGAGCCGAACCTGCGAATCTCAGTCACCTCATCATTTTCAAAACAGATTCTGCGATTGCCATAGGTCTGAGCTTTCTTCAGATCTTGTGGCATCAGCACTTCCCCGGTTTCCTTAAACACAGTAAATCTTACCTCAACTCGGAAACCACGAAACTGATCTCAATAAATTTATGAAAAGTGTCGCAGCTCTTGTTTCAAGGCTGTGAACAGAGTGTTTTTGTATCAAGGGCTTGCGTAAAAGAATTTTTATTTCTAATATTGTAAATTTTACATCAAATTGTATCTATATACTTATCCTATCTCACACTATGCATTTCTTCGTGCTTGAACAAAGTTTCCAGCTTCTAAAAACATTTCGCCAAAACACATTCCAGCATGACCCTGGTCACAACCTGTAATCCCATGGGTTGTGAGTTTACATGGCATGATGACCTGACTACCTCAGCCACATCATTTTCTCTCTTAGATGTTGTTGGTTTGTTGCTTAACGCCGCACTCAGGAACATTCCAGCTATATGATGGCGGTCTGTAAATAATCTAGTCTGGACCAGACAATCCAGTGATTGATATCATGAGCATCGATCCATGCAATTGGGATCGATGTCATGCATCAACCAAGTCAGTGAGCCTGACCACCCAATCCCGTTAGTCGCCTTTTACGACAAGCATTGTCACCTTTTACGGCAAGCATGGGTTGCTGAAGACCTATTCTACCCCGGAATCGTCGCGGGTCTTCTCTCTTAGAGCTGTCAGGCTAGCGGAGCTGTGATGTGGGATGGTTGGGAGGGCATATAGTTTGTGAGATAGGATAAGGATATGAATATCCAATTTAATGTAAAATTTACACAATTTCAAACTTATCCTCACACAATGCATTATCCTGTGGTTGGATGGGGGGGGGGGGGGCGGATACAGTAGCCTCAATAGACTACAACCATGAGACGTCCACGAGGAAGCTGGGGCTAAACAGTGAAACAAACAATAAGCTATACCACAGTGTTGTAAAGACAAGAACTCGTGAGTGGGTAGAAACACCATCACAGACAATGTGACACCTGTACGCTAGTCAGTCGTAACATAATGAAATCAGGTATAATGTCTTACGTGTTTTCATGTGAGACATTGTTACAGAAACGGCCGCTCTGCTTGGAATAGAGATCTAGAGGTATTCAACCTATCTGTTATAATTAATCCGGAAGTGGTCTCCAGGCAATCAGTTCTACAGGACAGACCACACCAACATCTCCAATGGCCAATAGGGTGAGGCAGCTTGGCATCTCTTTTAGCGCTTCGTCAAAGTCAAAGCTCTCGATCACACCCGCAGGATCGAAGACAGGAAGAGGAGCAATTGACAACATCCACAAAGGATCATCAAACCAATACTGAGAGGTAAGGGCTCGGGACACCGCCAAAACAGCTGTGCCTTGCGGCGACTTTGATGTTGAAGGCCGGAGTCTCTACAGACGAGGTAGCTTACCCTCCACTGGGTACACAGTCTGAGAACCCGAAAAATGATAATACCACATACAGGATAACGAGTACTGGGGTGCAGCTGTCAAATGTTACACCAGGACCATGGACCAAACTGGCCGAGGCCCTAAACGTTGTTGAATGAGACGTCACAAAGACAGCGGGAAGCAAAGACAGTATCAGACTTCTAAAAACAACCCTCCATGATGTCGGACAGGATGCAATTGCTGTGCAGTTGGTAGAGGCGACGGCTCCAGTCTCATGTGGATTGGCGTAGTCCCGAAGAATAGTCATGAGAAGTGGACGCCGGGGAAAGGGGATGAAGAGTCTCTTGCACTGAAGTGGCCGTGCAGCCTCGAGGTAGATATGGAGCGCTCTAACTGGGCATAAGGAGATGTCTTCATGATCATCTGGGCTCAGGATGGACAACAATGGGATGGTTTGGGTCGTAAGAGCGGGAATAATCAGGACAATGATCTGCAGAATCGGTATTGGAATCATCCTCAGATTGATGACGATCATCCTTTTGAGATGGAGTTGTCCGTGACTTATCAGTATCTCCGGTTCAAGATCAATCAGTAGCACGACAATCCTGAGAAGGTGGATCTCCCAGACGTCAATCGTGTGAGTATTGATCCCGAGAACGTCAACCCTTAGATTTGGAATGTCGATCCCTTGAATGCTGATCCTTTGAGGAACTCTCTAGAACATCTATCCCCTGATTGCAATTCCCTCGATCGTTTCTGAGGCACGAGAGCATTCCCGACTCCGTCATTCCCTAGTACAAGTAGAGGGCAAACACGTACCATCAATCAAAAGTGAAGTCGAACCGTCGGTCCTGAGACAAGTGGTTAGGTTGGACCGGGGAGCGCTGGGAAGGTCGACAGTGGGGACTGTCAAAGCTGGATTGGAAGAGCTGTCCTTAAGTAGAACCATGCTCCAACATATGCATGGTAATGGGTGCACTGGAGACAGGCGCCCGGGTCAATTTGGTGGCAACGTCGTCAGTGAGGAAACATCGTATTCAACCGACAAGGAGGATATGGTAGACACAGGAGATGATTCTACTACGCTAATGGCAACAGTAACAGGGACAGCTGGCTTGTTCTGATTCCCGCGTGTGGCATTTGTGTCGATAGGTGCGAACACTGGAAACATCCTGGGAGCAAAAGCTGCGTCAATCACAGCAATTATCACGAGGATCAGCATGTTCCTCTTCTTGATACGAATGACGAAATAGCTCACGCTCAAAAAACAAAAAAGTAGATTCTCTAAAACTCCACAGAGTGGCGATGAGAAAGTGAATGAGGTGGTAGTGGTAATCACGAAATCATGTCATGTAAGGGATTACAGTGCATGACCCATTTGTTAGGGTGGTGACCATGGCCATCTGGGATGTGTTTGGGCGAAATGTTTTTAGAAGCTGGAAACTTTGTTCAACAGGTTTCCACATAAGGATCGAAACAAGAAGGAAGAAATGCATAGTGTGAGACAGGCTAAGTTGAAAAATGATGAAATTTACAAGGAAACACGATGGTAATAATCCCTTTATCCTAAATGTATGTCTTAAAATAATTGAAGTTTATGAGATATTTTCACATACTGGTTTTATTTTAGAAATTGCCTAGAAATACAATGCTCATACCATTTATGATAAAGTGCCAAATGATTTGCAGCCATCTTGGATTGCATGAGCACTCACACATGGGGAAACACTATGAAGAGTGTTTGCGCATGGAGGCATATAGCTCCTGCATGTTTATCAGATCGGGACTGGTTCATCCATCAATAAGTCTATCCATTATATGATACAAGAATATGCTAACCTCCAGGTATGTCTTGGAGTGACTCTTCAGTTCCTCGTTGGTGTTCCGAGACAGCTTCACTGCAGATGGTTTAGGACAACTCCGAACAAGATTGTACCTGGCAGATGAAACATTCAAATAAACACTGCGTTCCTACAGCAAACACAGCTGGTTTGTTACATCTTCACACCCATAAATAGCCCCAGGAAGGTAGTCAGGATAACCTCCCTTTGGCGAAACAAACATTATGACTAATCTGAGTAAATCAGTAAAACACTGAGTGAGTGAGGGAGTGAGTGACTGAGTGAGCCAGGTACTATCGACTCAAGGTAGAAGGTTGGTTGATTGGTTTGTTGTTTAACGCCGCACTCAGCAATATTACAGCTATATGATGGCGGTCTGTAAATAATCGAGTCTGGACCAGACAATCCAGTGATTGACATCATGCGCATCGATCCACGCAATTGGGACGAATGACATGCATCAACCAAGTCAGCGAGCCTGACCACCCGATCCCGTTAGTCGCCTTTTACGACAAGCATAGTCACCTTTTACGGCAAAGCATGGGTTGTTGAAGACCTATTCTACCCCGGATCTTCACGGGTCCAAGGTAGAAGGACTACTCATAACATTCTATTTAGATTTCACCTCCTTTATGTACCAGCGACATGTTAGAATGATTAACCAAACTTGACTATATTTATTACTCCTTCCATTGTTCTGTATGATTTTACCCAACACGACCACTGTTTCATGCACTCTATTTAGCAATCCATGTTTTCCCTGGCAGCTTCACAGCAGTATAGGCACCTCAGTTGGCTGTGTAGAGTTGCGGCACTTAGTCGTGCCAGAAACATTTCCCCACCCATCAATCTGTCCTAGACAGAGATTCTCCAAACCTACTACAGCCTATCTCATGGCTTTGGTTATCCATGTATATTAGACAGACTGACAAATTAATTCAGTAACAAAGGCCATCGGCCCACAATACAATAATATTAATAATTAAATAACATGTACACAAGGGTATTATTATTATCTACCATATTCGACATAATAAGCGCCCAGGGCGCTCTCAAAATTAGAATTAGGGGGCCCTTATTAGAATATTATTTTGGTGAAAAACAACACAGCCTAAAATGTTTATATACGACAGATATATTTTTCCAGAATTTAATTTCCATAATTACGGATGCATATAGCATACGTATTATACACGAATAAATAAGCCTTGTGTACATTGATCCATCGGAAGGGGTGCTAATTGGGATTGTTCACTAGCCAATATCTTAGCAAATATCGCCGTGGGCGCTTATTAGAGTGGGGTGCTTATTACGCCGAATACGGTAACTGTTTTCTCATTTCTCATTGTAAACGTTTTAGATAAAAATAGACCAATGTTAAATATAGCAAATCACACTGAAGATTTCATAAGGTGGATAAATGTATATTAAAAATTGTATATTACTACAACGTGACTATACACATCAGGCTCTACTCACACTCCAACGGAGAAGTCTAGGCCACCTCCGAGGTTGAAGGTGATCCTGCGCAGTGCTCTCTTCTTGTGGTCCTTGGATCGCACCCTGAAATAGTACGACACTGAAGCTGTCTGGTAACCCTCTTTTATCACTAACAAGCATGAAATACTCATATCCCCTGCCAAGGGGACACGAAAGGTTGTGTACAAGGCAAAAAATATTGTACGATTTTCAAGATCTGCTCCAGAAACGAGCACATTGTCAAGCTAAGTCAAAGTTGTTGCTATGGAAACCCCCAATCTTTTTTTCAAAATCCCAAACTATCAAAGGGCACCAGTTCACATCTAGACCTATCTATGTGCCAAGGTTGGTTAAGTTGTCTTTCATGGTTTTTTAGTTCTGCTCCAGAAAATGAAACGTGATGGATGGACGGACAGCACCCATTCCTATATTCAATCTGTACAGATCATGAAGATACAACTGCATGTCGACAAATACTCAAGCAATAATGACAGCGCTACCTGGTGAGCAGTTCTTCCAACCTCTCTGCAGGGTCAGGTAACTCTGTCAGCTCATCATCATCTGTGTACAGAAGATCCTGAAAACAAAGCCTCCTATCATCATCATCATCATCATCATCTGTGTACATCATCATCATCATCATCATCATCATCATCATCATCTGTGTACATCATCATCATCATCATCATCATCATCATCATCTGTGTACATCATCATCATCATCATCATCATCTGTGTACATCATCATCATCATCATCATCATCTGTGTACATCATCATCATCATCATCATCATCTGTGTACATCATCATCATCATCATCATCATCATCTGTGTACATCATCATCATCATCATCATCTGTGTACATCATCATCATCATCATCATCATCATCATCTGTGTACATCATCATCATCATCATCATCATCATCATCATCTGTGTACATCATCATCATCATCATCATCATCTGTGTACATCATCATCATCATCATCATCATCATCATCATCATCATCTGTGTACATCATCATCATCATCATCATCATCATCATCTGTGTACAGAAGATCCTGAAAACAAAGCCTCCTATCATCATCATCATCATCATCATCTGTGTACATCATCATCATCATCATCATCTGTGTACATCATCATCATCATCATCATCATCATCATCATCTGTGTACATCATCATCATCATCATCATCATCATCTGTGTACATCATCATCATCATCATCATCATCATCATCATCATCATCATCTGTGTACAGAAGATCCTGAAAACAAAGCCTCCTATCATCATCATCAGGGGCGGTCGGGTAGCCTAGTGGTTAAAGCGTTGGCTCGTCATGCCAAAGACCCGGGTTCGATTCCCGACATGGGTACAATGTGTGAAGCCCATTTCTGGTGTCTCCCGCCGTGATATTGCTGGAATATTGCTAAAAGCGGCGTAAAACCAAACTCACTCACTCACTCATCATCATCATCATCTGTGTACAGAAGATCCTGAAAACAAAGCCTCCCATCATCATCATCATCATCATCATCATCATCATATACTGCTCCCTTTATCATGTTTACTCTTGTTTTGAGCATGATTAGGAGAGCATTTTAATTTTGAGAAATTTCCTCTCTTACGAAATCTATCAGCATTACTGATCAGAATATGTATATGAATACATATTTTTAAATCATATGAATTCAGAATTTGAATAATTACTGGTATGACAATTAATACTTAATCACAATGAATTTTAATTCACAAATTAACATTCCTGAGAGTAGCCACATCCATGGAATGTTCAAGCTACGTTAATAGTTAGTGTCTTCATGTACAAAATGGTTATATTTAGTTATCTTTAATTTTGTGCACTCCATGTGACAGGAAACGCTTAAAGTTTTCTTAGAGGCAAAGGCAGCAATGCCAGAAGCTCCTGGCCTACATAGAAATCAAAACGGTCCAGTCAAACGATACAAGTTAGAAATTAGAAACATAACAGAATGGAGCCTTGGTCATAGACAGAGTTGCCAACTTGCCATATCAGACTCCTTGGCAGAATTAGTGAGTGAGTGAGTAGGGTTTTACGCCGCTTTTAGCAATATTCCATTAATATCACGGCGGGGGACACCAGAAATGGGCTTCACACATTGTACCCATGTCGGGAATCGAACCCGGGTCTTCGGCGTTACGATCGAACGTTTTAACCACTAGGCTACCCGACCGCCCCCTCGGCAGAATTAAAAAATACATAATAATAAATACAAAAAAGCTTCACAATATCCAATTTATTATGCATATTTAGGAGCAATTGCAAACGCTAACTGAACTGTCCCCTCAAGGCAAACCAACCTTGTAGAACTTGGAGACATCAAACCTCTCCCCTGGGTTCTGCATGTGCATCAGTTCAAGGTCAATCCCAGTCTCATGAAGGTCACTTGCTTTTGTCTTTGCCTGGCGCTGAAGTTCAAATAATTGGAAACGGTTACCTTGGCCATGATGCTCAAGAACACATAAAATGGCACAAACAGACAAGCCAGCCCTTAAGTTGAGGCTGCAGGGGAAGTCTTCTTAGACAACTGACGTTGTACAAAACAACCTTAGCGCTACGACTATCGTAGGTCTATGTTAAGGTATGGAAGTTAAAGACCACCTTAGCGCTACGACTGTCGTAGGTCTATGTTAAGGTATGGAAGTTACGACCACCTTAGCGCTACGACTGTCGTAGTTCTATGTTAAGGTATGGAAGTTACGACCACCTTAGCGCTACGACTGTCGTAGGTCTATGTTAAGGTATGGAAGTTACGACCACCTTAGCGCTACGACTGTCGTAAGTCTATGTTAAGGTATGGAAGTTACGACCACCTTAGCGCTACGACTGTCGTAAGTCTATGTTAAGGTATGGAAGTTACGACCACCTTAGCGCTTCGACTGTCGTAGGTCTATGTTAAGGTATGGAAGTTACGACCACCTTAGCGCTACGACTGTCGTAGGTCTATGTTAAGGTATGGAAGTTACGACCACCTTAGCGTTTCGACTGTCGTAGGTCTATGTTAAGGTATGGAAGTTACGGCCACCTTAGCGCTACGACTCTCGTAGGTCTATGTTAAGGTATGGAAGTTACGACCACCTTAGCGTTACGACTGTCGTAAGTCTATGTTAAGGTATGGAAGTTACGACAACCTTAGCGCTACGACTGTCGTAGGTCTATGTTAAGGTATGGAAGTTACGACCACCTTAGCGCTTCGACTGTCGTAGGTCTATGTTAAGGTATGGAAGTTAAGACCACCTTGGCGTTACGACTGTCGTAAGTCTATGTTAAGGTATGGAAGTTATGACCACCTTAGCGTTACGACTGTCGTAAGTCTATGTTAAGGTATGGAGTTACGACCACCTTAGCGCTACGACTGTCGTAGGTCTATGTTAAGGTATGGAAGTTACGACCACCTTAGGGCTAAGACTGTCGTAGGTCTATGTTAAGGTATGGAAGTTACCACCACCTTAGCGCTACGACTGTCGTAGGTCTATGTTAAGGTATGGAAGTTATGACCACCTTAGCGCTAAGATCGCTCTGTACAACGGCACCCTGGCCGTCAATGCCTATATTCAGAGGGAGTAGATTCTGCGCACCTGATATTGAGGGTTCCCAGAGTGAGGGTCATCATTGTTGGTGAAGAGCATCACTCTCTTGTAGTTGATCTTCTGAGTGCTGAAACAACGACACAGCTTCTGTGTATCTTACCATGACACTTCCATTTGTGAGCTTGCAAGAAATAACCTGGTGACCAGCAAATCAAGCAACCACTGAATATATATCTTTTAAATTACCGCAAGAATATGGTATTGTACAGGTGAGGTGAGGTGAGGTGAAATGGGTTTACTGTATCCAAGAGATGCCAATTTATAGTGCTAGCCCACTGAGATACCATGCCGCAGGTTAACATGAATACCCCACTCAGACAGAGTATACTTGACTCTGAGGCTACCAGTCCTTGTTTTAGCCCCTTATTCCCGAGCGCCAGACAGGGTAACAAGTACCATCTTTTAACGTCTTTTGGTATGACGCACACAGAGATTGAACCCCGGACCTTCTGCTCCCCCGGTGAACGCTCTACCCCTAGACCATAGAGGCTTCTCCTTTGTACAGTAAATGTCTAATAACATAAATGACCTCGAATGGAGGCATCGTATAAGAGCAAAAGATCTATTTGTTCACAACGTTCTACGTCGTTGGGGTAGGGTGACACACAATCAACCAAAGCTGACCATTTGATCCCTGAATGACAAGCAGAGTTGCTGGGGACTCTTTCTTACCAGGAATCCCCACAGCTTGTTTGTTTGTTTGTTGTTTGTTTGTTTGTTGTTTGCCACCGCACTCAGCAATATTTCAGCTACCAGTATATGAAGGTGGTCTGTAAATAATTGAGTCTGGACCAGTGATTGATATCAAGAGCATCGATTCCAGGATTCCCCTCCCACCCCGAGGCCTACTGCCCTAATTACGGTACATACCATTTGGAGAACATGCTGGCGCACGTCCAGAGAGCCTCACTGAGGGAGAAGGTGTCGCTGTGACCGTACTTGGTACCAAACTTCTTGTAGCCCTCTACAACACAGCAAGCAGAAGACAAGCCATGACAACTGAACTCAGAGGCCTCAGATTGGTTTGTTTCAGAAAGTAGAGGCGAGATCCTGATTGCTAGAATAAGTAATAGAGGACTTTGTCTGGTCAACTGTAGGTTTAACTTTAGACCTTATTGCTTGGGTTTGGTCGAATTTTCAGAATTAGTTTAATTTTGGTCCCTTCCTGTCAAATTACTACACGATGAAAGAAATGGATCTGATGGAAGAAATCTTGTGACAATTTCAGGATTAGTTTAATTTTGGTCCCTTCCTGTCAAATTACTACATGATGAAAGAAATGGATCTGATGGAAGAAATCTTGTGACAATTTCAGGATTAGTTTAATTTTGGTCCCTTCCTGTCAAATTACTACACGATGAAAGAAATGGATCTGATGGAAGGAATCTTGTGACAATTTCAGGATAAGTTTAATTTTGGTCCCTTCCTGTCAAATTACTACATGATGAAAGAAATGGATCTGATGGAAGAAATCTTGTGACAATTTAAGGATTAGTTTAATTTTGGTCCCTTCCTGTCAAATTACTACACGATGAAAGAAATGGATCTGATGGAAGGAATCTTGTGACAATTTAAGGATTAGTTTAATTTTGGTCCCTTCCTGTCAAATTACTACACGATGAAAGAAATGGATCTGATGGAAGGAATCTTGTGACATTTTAAGGATTAGTTTAATTTTGGTCCCTTCCTGTCAATTACTGCACGATGAAGAAAATGGATCTGATGGAAGAAATCTTGTGACAATTTAAGGATTAGTTTAATTTTGGTCCCTTCCTGTCAAATTACTACATGATGAAAGAAATGGATCTGATGGAAGAAATCTTGTGACAATTTCAGGATTAGTTTAATTTTGGTCCCTTCCTGTCAAATTACTACACGATGAAAGAAATGGATCTGATGGAAGAAATCTTGTGACAATTTCAGGATTCGTTTAATTTTGGTCCCTTCCTGTCAAATTACTGCACGATGAAGAAAATGGATCTGATGGAAGAAATCTTGTTACAATTTAAGGGTAAGTTTAATTTTGGTCCCTTCCTGTCAAATTACTACATGATGAAAGAAATGGATCTGATAAAAGGAATCTTGTGACAATTTAAGGATTAGTTTAATTTTGGTCCCTTCCTGTCAAATTACTACATGATGAAAGAAATGGATCTGATGGAAGAAATCTTGTGACAATTTCAGGATTCTTTTAATTTTGGTCCCTTCCTGTCAAATTACTACATGATGGAAGAAATGGATCTGATGGAAGAAATCTTGTGACAATTTCAGGATTCGTTTAATTTCGGTCCCTTCCGACAGTGAAAAGCTATGGGGTTAAAAACAATGCAGTCCAATAAAGTGTGCAGTTACTTCCCTTTACAAGCACACTGCTTTACTTGTGTTATGGTCATGGCGGCAATAGGAATTTGTGTTCTTTGACAATGAAAACATGAAGTTTACCATAAAACATCACGAGACATAATGATTTACAAATTCAATGGTATTTGTGAACTGTATGTCGGACAATGTTTCATACACAGAGATTAAGATTACATGTGTATTTGTCTCATAAGATAAGCCGGAAATAGCAATCAACTGTTTCACACCTTTTCTTTCCGATTTATGGATGATTTAGTTTTATAAATACTTAATGCAATGGTCAATTTCATAACTGAAAAGAAATGTCAATTCAGTGATCCAATGACTACTGTTCTTTTCAAGGCAAGTTCATGGTGAGTTGATGTGATTTGCTGATCAGTTCATACAAGATGAAATTAATGTAAACAAAGTTGAATTAAATTTTGGATAAAAGTTACAAGATGAACACCAGAAATGGGCTTCACACATTGTACCCATGTCGGGAATCGAACCCTGATCTTCGGCATGACAAGCGAATGCTTTAAACACTAGGCTACCCGACCGCCCCAAATGACATTGAGAGTTACCTCCCTTACAAGTCCATTCTTCGGTGTCTCGGAAACAGTGGTTGTGTTGGGGTAAAATCATACAGAATAAAGGAAGGAAATATAAATATTGGTAAAGTATGGGTAATCATTATATCATCATGCCACTGGCAATCACTACTACAGAGTACACAGAGAAGGTGAAGTAGTGAAGTGGGGTTTAACGTCACGTTAAGGATTATATCACCTATATTGTGAAATGGGGTCTGGGAGGTGAAATGGGATTATATCACTTACATAGAGAAATGCATGCACGTGTGTGTATGGCTGCTTGTACTAGTCTGGACTCATGCTGGTTTTAAAGTGCTAGCCCACTGAGATACCACGTCACAGTTTAACATGGATACCTAACTCATACACCAAGCCAACCAGTCCTTGTTTTATCCCATTAACAGAGAGCGCCAGGCAATTCTTAAGTTATTGTATGGGCTAATGCAAGCTGAGCTTACCACATGAGCAAGATAAAAAGACTTTTACTAGACTCAAGTTTAGGACTGAGTCGCTGACTGATGAAACCTACTCTCTTGCAGTTCCTCCAGATCCAGAATACGAGGAGCACCTGGCTGGTCCAGAGTCTGAAACAACAAAATAACAGTGTGAGAGTCATGTTATCATCAGGCTGGCTATTGATATAGATCATAGAGATTGATAATCACTAACAAAATAATGATTAATTATTGATAAATATCAGAGAAGTAACTTTAAGCAAATATGCAAGTAAGTCTCGAACGAGTCCACGCCACTGGTGACCAGTGACACATGTATGCACACCCGACCGCCCCGCTTTCAATTGTCAAGATAGACAATTACAAGTCTGCTTTGGTAAATCTAAACATTACTTCATAACATTTCACAACATTTCTTCCCATTTACAATAATTCCGATTATCGTTCTTTTTAGCCAGGCCTAGTTATCATTGTAATGTTACTGAGTGAACACCGTTATTTTACTTTAAACATCCATAAACCCTAAAAAACAATGGAAGTCAATTCTTAAGTAACCGCTGTCCTGTTGAAGCACTTATATAAGATAGCTACGTGATAAATCGCAAAAAACAATGAAGAATGCAGGATGGTTTATTTCACGACAAAACATTGTTCTATCATGACGTCATTTCTGGAGATTCGAACATGTGCTCGTAACATGATGGCGTCGTATATTTAGGAGATAAACATACTGTGTTTTCAATGTAGAGCTAGGTTACCTGTAGATTTAACCTCGCTAAATTGAATTTGGAACCGAACGCACAGCGTGAGGTTTCAAATGTTAAATTTAGCGCGGTCAAATCTACAGGTAACCTAGCTCTGCATTGAAAACACAGTATGTTTATCTCCATTCTACCATGACTAAATACAACGAGAACTCTTTGGTGTTAGCAAATATACTGAGTGAAGCGGCACCAAGGGATGAATCCAGTGTTTTGAGTGGGTGATCGATCTGAATTACGGAATCACTGAACAAAATATGGCGCTATATACGCAAGCAGTTTGTTTACACCGTAATACTTCACTCGAACATATGACAGGCATTGAAAGCATATAAGCACAGCAACTTGGTAAGCTAACATGAAAACAAGCAAGCTTTGCAAGGCTTTCGCAATACATCGCACGTCACCATTATGACGTCATATCGCTCATTGTGACGCAAAAGATATGACGTCACAGTCGTATATAGAAAAGCGCCAAAATTACAAGCTCTCTGTTGTCTCCAAACCGTAAATACATTCCCTTTGTAGATTTCTATCGTGTTTCCTGGTTGAAATGTATTGCCACACACCCTTTGAATATTGTAGCAACCGCACCTGTGCATTTTGTAACCTGTAATTGTAGATATAATTATTTAAATATGCCTACCGACAGAGACTGAAAATAGTACTATTCTATGAATATTAGCTTCCGCGGTGATGCGGTCGTCAAACCAGCTGTTTCAATCAGAGGGGGTTTATTGTGATTTAATAGCCTCTGATTGACCAATCAGAATCGAGTAAATTCCAAATTCATGGTACATTAGACGTTATTTTTTAGAGGGAAGTGTCTTGTGAGATGTAGCTGGGCAACGCAGGTCAACATGATGGCTGAACGATCGAATCAAAAATGGGAGAGATATGACAATTGGTATTAGGGAAAAGGTACAGGTAATCCATGTGAGGATTATGACATGCTGGAAATACCCCCCTGTGCATAAAATGCACAATTCTGAGGTCAGAGTCTATTGAGGGAGTTATCATTATTTAATTACGGGTAAATATTTTTAAAGCTTGTACAATGTATCGTCATCCTAAAAGGGGCAGTACATAATGTTGATATCTCATATAATAACTAAACGGCTCATTATTCTATATCATTATTCATTCTCCCTGCAGTGTTTTATTGTATGATAAACAACTCCCACTCGTCGTTTATTTCTTACGTAGCCTGTTGTGGTTACGTTTGTGTTGAGTATCGGTACATAAACCAGGATCCTGGACACACCGTCACGATGGAGTTGTGAACACGATCAGGACCACTGGAAGCAAAGTGCTGTTGAAAATATCAAATTCAAAGATGAATAATTAAGCTCACCTGATAAATGTAGATGTGCTTGAAATCAGTTGGATTTTCAGATTTTTCCTGGAATGCAATTAGAACAAAGGTCAGTAGCTTTATCGACAAGCATGGGGTACAGGGGACCTCTTATCCAGAATCCACCCATTGAGCCAAGCATGGGGTACTAGGGACCTCTTATACACCAACAATCCACCCACAGAGACAAGCATGGGGTACTGGGGACCTCTTATCCAGAATCCACCCATTGAGCCAAGCATGGGGTACTAGAGACCTCTTATACACCAACAATCCACCCACAGAGACAAGCATGGGTACTGGGGACCTCTTATCCAGAATCCACCCACAGAGACAAGCATGGGGTACGGGGGACCTCTTATCCAGAATCCACCCATTGAGACAAGCATGGGGTACTGGGGACCTCTTATCCAGAATCCACCCACAGAGACAAGCATGGGGTACAGGGGACCTCTTATCCACAATCCACCCATTGAGACAAGCATGGGGTACTGGGGACCTCTTATCCAGAATCCAACCATTGAGACAAGCATGGGGTACTGGGGACCTCTTATCCACAATCCACCCATTGAGACAAGCATGGGGTACTGGGGACCTCTTATCCAGAATCCAACCATTGAGACAAGCATAGGGTACGGGGGACCTCTTATCCAGAGTCCACCCATTGAGACAAGCATGGGCTATTGGGGGACCTCTTATCCACAATCCATCCACAGAGACAAGCATGGGGTGCTGGGGACCTCTTATCCACAATCCACCCACAGAGACAAGCATGGGGTACTGGGGTCCTCTTATCCACAATCCACCCACAGAGACAAGCATGGGGTACAGGGGACCTCTTATCCACAATCCACCCATTGAGACAAGCATGGGGTACTGGGGACCTCTTATCCACAATCCATCCACAGAGACAAGCATGGGGTACAGGGGACCTCTTACCCACAATCCACCCATTGAGACAAGCATGGGGTACTGGGGACCTCTTACCCACAATCCAACCATTGAGACAAGCATGGGGTACAGGGGACCTCTTACCCACAATCCACCCACAGAGACAAGCATGGGTACTGGGGTCCTCTTACCCACAATCCACCTAAAGAGACAAGCATGGGGTACGGAAGCCGTATTTTTACCCGGAATCCAATGGGGATGGCCAGAGGAAGAAAGACAGCCAACTTACTGTCCCGAAGAAGACAACGCCCATGTAATCCTTGTCACTGCTGATGATCTTGTTCTGCATGCAGGTCTGCACACACTGAAACACAAGAGTGAGTGAGTGAGTGAGTTGGGTTTAGCATTACTTTGATCAGTGTCTAAATTATATCACACTGTCAGATATATTTTGGATAGAGTCCAAAGAAGCACAGGTTGTAAATATTTTTACCCAAACTCACAAGCACAGCATAGTTAATTGAAAAAAATTCTATCTTAGAACAAATGGTAATGGTAATGGCTCAAGCTCCTTCCCAGCGCGTGACACCTTCGTTACACTCTCGGTAACATCGCTGCCACCAGTGTGGGCGCGGCCATTACAAGAATCTTGAAAATTAACCTTTAACCCCAAATGTAGTAACGTTTATACTTTTGTTTATGTCTTTGGGAATGCCATCATATTTCATTTTGAAAAGGTTTACGACTGACCATGTTTTCCAGATGAATTTACTTTGTTGTTTTGTTAATCAGATTGGTTCGAGATTGCAGACTAACGGAAAATCAACCAACTTCTCCCTTACATTCTTACTATATCAATAACACGATAGTTTTAATGAAACAGAAATTCAAATTGACAAACGAAGAAAGTAATTTAGCAGCGATAAGTGTATTCGGCGTCACGACAGTCGTCACTTGTTGGTAAACATAACGGTCATTCGGTTGCGAGTTCAACTCCAAGCATGGTTGTGGCCACCTATTCACAGTGGGGAGTTTTGACTGGTGGCAGCGATAGTATAGAGTTCCCGGAGAACGTACTATCGCTGTGAGGAGCTTGGGTAATGACTTGGTAAAGGGACTCAACTCTTCACAGTGACTTGGAGCACCTCAGACCACTAAACCAAAGTGAAGAAAAGTCAAAAGATTTTAATTCGTCTCCACTTGTACCATGGTTTACAGATGGAAGTCCATCAGATCACAGTCTAATCTCAAAGTTTTTTTCTACATGTGAGCTAACAAAGCTCCCGACAAGTTCTGGTCTTGCTAGATTTTAGAAGTTTTACTGACACAATGATCACATGATCTGTTGTGCCAATAGAACAGTACCATAGTGACGCCTCCCACACTTACCTTCATACAGACTTGGAAGTGAGATTCTTCATCGTCATCCGATTCAAACATGTCCTTGGTGCAGTCCACCAGGAAGATCAGCCCATCTCGGCTTCCAAACCGAAACTGTAGAAATAGTTTGCAATCACAACATAAGCATTGTTGTGTCACAGCAGCTGTAAAGTCTGAACAAGTCAAGCTAACAGCCCAGTCACCTATGTACATGTTAGCGTATAATGTGAGGCTTTCAATGGAAACAAATTAAGTTAGTCATTCTTTTGATTACATGCACTATTTTAACCCTATTTTCAGCTTCATCAGACGAGCATTCAGAGAAGATACTGTGGACCGTCATCAGAAAGAGACCCTCTTTTGAAATGTTGTAGGTCCTTCTCCCTTGCCTCACAAACAAATGAATAGCTGTTTTGGCTTGGCCAGTCAAGGGGTAACAAAAATTCTGGTCAATTTGGCCAAAACACTGGCCTGGCATCTGTGGTCAGTTTGGGCCTGCTTGAACATATTGAACTTGCTTAGCCAGAGCTCCAGATAAGCTGCGTATCTGCGTAAAATATGCATCAGAAATGCACAAATACGCAGTAAAAAAAATCCAAGCGTATCAAATACGCAACGAACATTACAGATACGCTACAAAAATAAAACTTGTGCGTATTATCAAAATATTGTGAAGTAACCCTGCGTATTTGATTAGCAAATCAGCAACTTATTTTGAAATTATAAACAGGCATTCCGTCAACCTTGCCAAACTCCACGATGACAGTTACATCATGATCATTTGCCATCACACTTTCTTGTGGAAGTATCGTGGTATTTTTGAGTCCTATAAAGCTCTCGAACCCACACGACACCAGTTTGCAGGGACTAGATGAAGTGTTTTTAAATATTTAACTTAAATACCCACATGTGTAAAAACTAGTGGGTAACAGAAATTTGAATACCCAGATAGAATTACTGATACCCAATGATTTTAAAATGCATGGGTAAAATACCCGCAACACCAAAAGCTTATCTGGAGCTCTGTTAGCTATTGTTTAGCTATTTGCTCTTATATCAAATGGTGCCTGGACCATCCGCATCCTTCCATGGCCCCTCCCAATGTTGCTCGAACCATTTCTTTTCGAAGTCAAGTTTGGTTTCCATGGCAACCATATTGGAAAACCTACTTTCTGTCATTAATTCCCAATGTATACAGATGAGTAAATGGAACATGGTGGCAGGCTAGAGTGCGGTGAGGTATGAGATATGTTTTTTCAATGTTTCACCTACTTTGATTTTTATTGCCCATGACAGCATTTTCACTTTAGTGACAGCAACCACTATACTGTAAAGCTGTAACGTTCCACATCAAAAACTTACTTGACTTTCAGTCATATCAGAATTCTCTGAGCACATAGGGAATAAGCAAATCTATGAAAATGTACGCTAGCATGTATTTTCAATAATTGATAGGCTGTGACATACATAAGGAAAGCGTCCGAGCTAATTAACAAAACTGATTTGACAAATTTATAGTCATATCCAATTAGGATCAACTGTCCTTGAAACCTTCACATTTTTTACTTATTAGATTATTTTTCTTATCATATCTAACAGTTTGGAAAGCATCAGTTTCAGATTTCATGACCTATTCCCCAATCACCTGACATTGATTTATCAAACATCACTGATACCTGTGGGTCAAACTCATCCTCCTCCTGGTCTTCGTCATCCTCCCCATATCGGGCATATCCAAAGTCAGCCATTCCAAATAGTCGTCAGTGCCTGAGGAATACGAGGAAGAAATCATAATAGCCATCAAAGTATCACCATTCAGCACTATTCACCGCACTCAACACAGATGCAGTTAACCAGGTGCAAACCTATTCTGTTGCTAGTTAACTTAAATCTTTAATCATTGTTTTGCCTATTTCGTCATATTGCATTTCTTTGACATTATCTTTTTAGTTAGTGAGTTGGGTTAGAAGCTGCTTTGAACAGTATTCCAGTTATGTCATGGCTTGTCAGCTTCATGTGGAAGAAGACCCGAGGTGATGAAGGTCTTAAGACGTTTACTCTGTGAAGCCACGAGCATGGGTATGGTGCTGACAAACAGAATCAGGGTGAACCAGGATTTTAACAATCACAGGTTTCTGGAGTGCCCAAGGGACACAACTCTGTACAGTGAATTGCAGCGCCTTAGACAACTGGGCCAACCGTGTCCCGGTTGTCTTTTCAATGTGGAGGCAACATTATGAATGCTAGTATACTTTCAGACACAAGTTCTCTGTTGCAAGAAACTTAAAAGTGCAAAACTTGGAAAGTGTTCTACATTCATCTCTTACGTTATTTTCTTGCATTAATAGTTCTTTCAGTAAAAAAATTAATCATTTTTTAAACTTGAATACGGCAACCGCTGACCTTATTCACTGGCGTGGGAAATGACGTGTTTGGTTTGTCTGGGTACTCTTATTATGTCATATCGCAATGAATTGCAAACTAAATTCGCTGAAAACAAAAGTTTGCAATATACAGTCAAGTCCAGTTAATCCACATGGTTGGCTGCATATGATTACGTCAAATTAACAAGCATTTTGGTTAATGAGATTGAGGTAATCTAGACCTGTGATTTGTTCTGTTTTGATTAATACTGTTTTACTTATCTAAATGATTAATTGTTTATTGTTAAGCAAGTTTCTCTGCAGCCATTGTAATATGCAGCCACCAGCCAACTTGTCTCACATCTAAACACGAGGCTGTGTACTCCTGGGCAGATGACCACTGAGTACACTGATAACTGTGTTGGATTAACGATACTGATTAATGAGTGATTTAGGTGTTGGAGTGCAAGACTGTCAGATTAACAGGTCTAAATAGCACTTACTTAATGAGTTCCCATCATTAGTGTAAGATAAAGCCGATTGTAGGATCAACAAGACTTGACTGTACAAGGTGTTACATGATGATTATGTTCCAAGCCTATGGAAAATCATAATGATACCAGACATTATTGGTTGATGTGACTAACACCCAGTAATCTGATTGCTGCACTGAAATTTACATATGACTTAAAATCTTAGTTTTGTGTCTGGACTTAAACAGATTAGGTGTAGATTGTTGGATATGAAAATGTAAATGTTTATACCCACCACGGACAGAAGTGTTTTGCCGGCATAGTTTGTATAGGACTGGTATGCCCATTGAGTGAGTTGAGAGAATGAGGTTTTACGACGCTTTTAGCAATATTCCAGCAATATCACGGCGGTGGGACACCACAAATGGGCTTCACACATTGTACCCATTTTGGGATTTGAACCCAGGTCTTCGACGTGACGAGCGAATGCTTTAACCACTAGGCTACCCGACTGCCTCGTATGCCCATTAATGCTAGATTACTTGGCCACACTCAGCAATATTCCAGCTATATGACGGCGGTCTGGATCTTCACGGTTCTTGATGCTAGATTAGCAATGTAGTGCAATGGCATAAACATGGCCTTTGTCTTACGGTTAGGAATTTTGTAGTTAGGTAATTGATAGAGTCATTACAATAGAAAGGTTCACAACACCCTTGGGCATGCCACGTACAACCTTCAGCGAGCGTAAGAATACACGCTCTATGTACCGACGATGTATTGGAAGAGGATTTAGTTGTTGTTGTTGCCCCGGTGCACCCTTCTTCTCAAAGATTCGCCTGCATTTTAGTTGAGATTGAATGCAGTTCATATAATGACAACTGCTGTAACCGAAAGAATTCTGTTGACCTTAAACAGAAATACATAGACATCGTGCAAATGGGCTTATGAAATGGACATTAATTACAATTTATCTTCACCTCGTAAATATTTCGCAATCTTGCAAACGGAAGCAGGATACCGGAAGTAATCTTTTCGCGCCACAACGCATGCGCAGATCTCAATTCCGTCTCCAGCCATTTGGAGTGGTGATGGAAAACATTAGGCGTACTGTGTTAGAATCATTATCTACCAGCAACATGGCGTACAATTACGTAGTGACAGCTCATAAGCCAACTTCCGTCAATGCTTGTGTTACAGGTTATATATTTGATCATAATCAGTTATTGTTTTATTTTATTGAATAACAATGCTCTTTGATCTACTTCCTTATATTGAGAACATATTAGGGCCTACTGCATGAAAAAGGGATATTTTTGTTTCTGTATCTAACATATTTATATACGATCTATTGTTGTTATTATTAACAGAGTTGTTAGTGAACACGATGAACAAGTCAAATCACACCATGCAGGAAAATAATGAGGCTGACTTTGTAATGAAATTATTTGTTTTGAGCATCAGTGAGGCTTCTGAGTTTTGGATATGTTAGCTACAATACAAAACCCCATGCATAAATGTCTACCACTCAAATTTCTACATTAGTAATTGTATCACAAATGCACACTGACATTATGATGATAGTCTGTTGCTATTTCTAGAAAATAGAATCATTGTACTCTTGACACCAATTATAATGATAACTTATTATTCTGATTCTGATAGCTCTTACACTTGAGACATGTTAGAATGTAAATTACATTCAACTTTATATAGAGATGTGAATGAACACGCATCCCCAGTGTCTTCCATGGTTCACTTATCACTCTTACGTAGGAGAAATCCTCATTGCATAGATTATCAGTTTCAAAACTATTGTTGATCCTGTACTAAAGGATATGGACTGTATTTATTAATATTTTTGTAAAATTCAATGCTCTGTTTGTAGGCAACTTCACCTCTCCTGATGATTTGAATCTTATTATTGCCAAAAACACTCGCATGGAGCTGTATGTGGTCACACCAGAAGGCCTCCGCCCGGTCAAGGAAGTTGGTATATATGGAAAGATAGCTGTGATGGAGTTATTCAGACCTCCAGTATGTATGAATCTATTTTACCATTATTATTGTTTTGTAATCATTTGGATTTTTGAAGTGATTATTGCAAATAAAAGGTGTGAAGTAACATTGAAAAGTGAAGTTCTGATGACTTCCGAATAACATCTTATCTGTTTTGATGGAAGATTGAAAAAACAAATGTGAAATAAATTGGCCTTAAGAAAATGCAGAGAACTTTTTTTAGTGTTGATTTAGCTCTGATTTTATGTATTTGACATGCAATATTTATAAGGTAATAAGGAAGGATAATAATAAGGATTGTTGTGGCAATTTAGAAGTTCTTAATGCAGTAAAAAGGCTTGGTAGAACCAAATTTGTGAAAACAAATAACATTTGAAATGTAATGTTGCATTCAGAATGTTCAGCGATTCAACTTTGTACAAAACTAAATTCACTAGTCCAGAAATCATTTGCTACAGTGTTGCTATTTACCTAATGGCAAAAGTGGTTGCCAGCAGGGAAATCATGATAATATCACCCGTCCTTCCTGAATTTTACAAGTCTCAGACAAGTGGACTTGTGTTGATTTCAAACCCTGATATCTCCTTGTGGCTTGTCTAATTATAATAACAAACTAATGTTCAAAGCTAATTGGTTGAGTTTACTCATGTTTGATGTATGTAATCTGATGTACAGGGAGAGACAAAGGATCTGCTGTTTGTGTTGACGGCTCGCTATCACGCCATGATCCTGGAATGTCAACAGGAAGGAGACACACTGGAGATTATCACTCGTGCACATGGGAACGTTCAGGTGGGAAGGAATAGTGATCATGTTTCTTTTTGCTGTGAATGTCTTGGATAATTTATTAAGTCTGAGGACCCAAGGTCGAAGTGATCTTTGTATGATGTGTTGTCCATCTGTTAATTTCTTCTCCGAAACTGGTAAAGGAGAGAGCCAGGCAATTTGGATGCTTTAGATTTTAATTGTAATAGGAGAATCCTGTATCATTGTGGAACTGAGATTTTTATGGTATTAAATAAACAAAATTGTATTTTTGTTTGACTGAATATTTTTTTAAGGTCTTTACCTTCTTCTAATAAAGTATCAATGGTGTAGGAATCTGAAACATTGATGATGTAGTATGTGTAGCAACACGATACCATTCCAATCTGTTTATGTCAAAAAAGGAATTTTTAAAGTTACATGTACTTGGAAGGCAAACTTTGACAATCTTTTAGAATCTTCTTCTCAGAAACCACAGAACCATGAGACCTTAAACAGTACGCACATCTGTTGGTTAATAATCTGAGGACTTTCATTTGTTTGTTTTTTTGTTTGGAATTAAAATGTTCAGTTGTTTGGTGTTTTTTTTAATTAATTTCTTTTTTTTTCAATTCTAGAAATTATTACCTCCTCAGAAATCAAAGGGCTTGAAGAGGCTGTATTGTAGCACTAAAATTGGTTCTGATTTAATCATGATTAATATGAGATTTAGAATGTCAAAATTGAAATCAAATAAATATTTGTAAACTTATCCTATCTCACACTATGCAGTTCTGTCTTCTGTTTCGATCTTGGTGTGGAAACTTCCTAAAACAAAGTTTCCAGCTTAAAAAGCAATACACCCGAACACATCCCAATTCATTCAGTGTGCTTTACATATTTGTTTATAGATAATTATATAGATATGCTCCTACAACTGTAACAGTGATGTGCAGCCATATGACCAATGTAAACAAAGGATAAATACGCAAATGGAAAAATAGCTTTTTCACGTTTAGCATCTTTTCTCAGCGCTAGTTAACCATTCCATGACAAGTGTATCTAAGTGTGTAGACTCATCAAAAATGAATATCTTGAATGGACTGTAAGATGTAACTAATTGTCACATTGCACTGGATTTTGGCAGAGGTGATTGCATCTCTTCGGGCTTTCCTCCCACATCAAGCTGACACGCGGCAATATAACTGGAATACTGTTAAAAGCGGCGTTAAACCCAACTCACTCAATTATGAATATCAAATCGTGATTATGCTAAAAATTTGTATAGATGATAATTACTCTAAGTTTCTTTTATCATGTTTATGTACCACCATCTGAATAGCTGTGGCCTGCATGTCATTAAACAGTTTATGGTGTGGGTTGTTTTCTTCTATGACGGGTATTCACAAATGTTTTATTTTATGTGTGTTTCAGGATCGTATTGGTCGTCCATCTGAGACTGGTATCATTGGCATAATCGATCCACAGTGTCGTGTCATTGGACTCCGATTGTATGATGGTCTCTTCAAGGTTATTCCCCTTGACCGGGACAACCGAGAACTTAAAGCTTTTAATATCAGGTATTGACAATGACTAATTTTAATTGCGTTGAAATAATTGTTTTGATAGATGTCATCTGATATTATTGTAAACATGTTATATCTGTTCACTCACAGATACTTTTTGAATGCAGTATTCTTTTCTAAGTTCATGATGCTTCATTTTCGTCATTGTTTCTGAGGATCTTACTGATTGTTGGATAACCAGTCAACCCGTGAAGATCCGGGGTAGAATAAGTCTTCAGCAACCCATGCTTGCCGTAAAAGGCAACTATGCTTGGCGTAAGAGGTGACTAACTGGATCGGGAGGTCAGACTTGTAGACTTGGTTGATGCATGTCCTCTTATCCCAACTGCGTGGTTCGATGCTCATGATGTCGATCACTGGATTTCCTGGTCCAGACTCGATTATTTACAGACCGCCGTCATATAGCTGGAATGCTCCCTAGTGCGGCGTTAAACAACAAACAAACAAATGTATAACCAATCACTGATCATGTTACGAGTTCTTATTTTCAAGTCAGTGAGTGATTCAGTTGGTAATTTATGTGTCCATTATCCAATCAGATTGGAGGAGCTGACAGTGATCGACATGCAGTTTCTCCACGGATGTTCCACACCCACTGTCATCCTGGTCCATCAGGTGAGCTGAACATCATCTGTCCGTACCCATGCATGTGGCTTTCACCAAAGTCGTAAACGTCTAAGGCCTGCGTCAATTTGTGCCCTCCTCCCACAACAACCTGACATTGACACCAACAAGATTTCTAATACAAGTTCCAAACAATACACATAATCTTTGTTGCTGACTCTGCTGTCAGAGGGGGCACGGGTGGCCCAGTCGTCTAAGGCGCTGCGATTCCCTGTGCAGAGTTGCGTCCCTTGGGCACGCCAGAAACCTATGATTGTGGGTTCGAATCCCGGTTCGCCCCGATTATGTTTCTAGGTTTGTCAGCATCATACCCGTGCTCGTGGGTTTCACCGAAGTGGTAAACGTCTGAGACCTGCATCACTTCGGGCTTTCCTCCCACATTAAGCTGACACGCCGCGATATGACTGGAATACTGTTAAAAGCGGCGTTAAACCCAACTCACTCACTCACTCACTGCTGTCAGAAGTCAGTTATTGCATATGGATCTGTCACTTTCTGCTACAATGACATTCTCCGACTTGGGCCACTATTCCATAACCCTAGTTTAGTAAAAGTTCATCCTGCGACTTAAATGTGCGAGTGATTAATACTTAAAGCTGCATCAACAATCTTGTAGCTATTGGCAGTAGGGCTGAAACGATATCCCGGGACACCGATGCATCGCGATTCGTTCCACACGATACGGTGCGCGATTTGTGAGGTGCTGTATCTAGATTTTTCACGATACGTTGTTTTGAATAAACTTTATAACAGATACATTTTGAATGTGTTTTAAATAAATTTCAAATTCGAACGAGTCATAAAAACATGGGGACAATATAATTTTCGAAACACACATGTACGTCTTCGAAATACAGCAGCTATGCTAGCTTTGTATATCGGTAGCAGTTCAAGCTTTCTGATTGGCTGAGCGGTCTCTAACTCATACATGTCAGAAAAAGCAGACGCTTTTCCTTTGCTAGAGAAACCACCGGGGACTGTGAAAATGGCTAGTTACTGGTACTTATCTAGTCCATGTAGGACTGTTACTTTTGTGTTTGCTAGCCATTACATGGAAATGGCAGATGATTCTTTAAGTTAAAATACTCATTACAGTATATATTTTATGACTCATGAACATTCATTCATTTTCATTTAATTTTTCATTTTAATAAGCTGAGCTTAATTCATTTATCTCTTGTCTTCTCTTGTCTCTGTGTATTGTAGCGTATCGAATCATGATGTAAGTATCGAGATACGTATCGTATCGTGACCTAAGTGTATCGTTGCAGCCCTAATTGGCAGGGAAGTCAGTTATTCTGTAAGGTTCTATCACTTTCTGCTACAATGACATTCTGCGACTTCGGCCACTCCATAAACCTAGTTTAGTAAAAGTTCATCCTGTGACTTAAGTGTGCGAGTGATTATTGCTTAAAGCTGCATCAACAATCTTGTAGCTATTTGCAGTGAAGTCAGTTATTCCGTAAGGTTCAATCACTTTCTGCTACAATGACATTCTGTGACTTCGGCCACTCCATAAACCTAGTTTAGTAAAAGTTCATCCTGCGACTTAAGTGTGCGAGTGATTATTACTTACAATCTTGTAGCTATTGGCATGATCCTGCAATTAAATGCTCTCGTATTAACACTTAATCTAAGTAAATTATGGAAAAGACATGCTCAGGCTACCAGATGCCAACAGTTTTGACACTGATTGCAAGGATTCCTATGTTGATGTCTGTGATGTTTCAGGACCAACATGGCCGCCATGTGAAGACCTATGAGATATCCCTCCGTGACAAAGAGTTCCAGAAGGGCCCGTGGAAGCAGGACAATGTGGAAACCGAGGCCTGCATGGTCATCGCAGGTGAGGACAGCTATCGGCCACTCTGTGCGTCAGTCCTGGCTGGGATAATCATTCCAGGCCCGTGACAGTGTTGTGTCAGGGGTAGATTTAACAACAAATTTGTATGTAGAAAGCAGGGCTTGCTCCTTTTAAAAGTAACTGGCCCTTCACCAAACTAACTGGCCTACTTCTTTGATAGGCATTTAGAAGTTGGAGTACTAAGTAAGGATAAGATTTATGGATGAACAACTTCTTTATTACAATTGAGAGCGACGTTTCGGTGTAGGTTCTATCATCGTTACCCATATGTAAAACATTGTTTCTTTAGTTCCAGAACCCTTTGGAGGAGCTCTGATAGTAGGCCAGGAGTCCATCACCTACCACAAGGGCGACAACTACATACCTGTGGCGCCCCCGGCCATCAAGGTCTGTTGGCATTTGATAATACTGGACTCAATACTGAGGGTGTTTAGAAATGCCATACGCTCCTATGACAACAAAGTTACAATGTAGTGACGTCCCCATGAATGTTTAATGAATGTTGCGGTATAGCTCCCATTTACTTGTGCATGAAGCAATATGCAGCATAATGTAAAATGGGCATTAATTCACTTTCAGTTGATATATATTGCAGTATCTTTGTCGATTTGACTTTCTCAGCGTCATTGCTTCATGTTCATATAAATTCATTTAAGTCTGTCTAAAAAATATTTGAAGGACAGTAGATGACAGCTCACAATGGACATTTGTGAAGATCCCAGTTAGCATTGATCTTCAGCAACCCATGTTTGTCGTATGAGGCGACTACACTTGTAAGAGGCGACTAATGGGTTCCCAATTGTATCCCCATTGTGAAGATCGATGCTCATGATGTCAATCACTGGATTGTCTGGTCCAGACTCAATTATTTACACACCGCTGTCATATAGCTGGAATATTTGCTAAGATCCCAGTTAGCATTGATCTTCAGCAACCCATGTTTGTCGTATGTGGCGACTACACTTGTAAGAGGCGACTAATGGGTTCCCAATTGTATCCCCATTGTGAAGATCGATGCTCATAATGTCAATCACTGGATTGTCTGGTCCAGACTCAATTATTTACACATCGCTGTCATATAGCTGGAATATTTGCTGAGTGCGGCGTTCAACAACAAACATAATAAACACAGAACCAGACCAGCAGACATTTTTGTAAGGATAAAACAATCATGCTTACACACTGAAATTATTTTTCAGCAAAATGCGCTGACATGTTATGGCAAGGTAGACACGAACGGCTCGCGGTACCTGCTGGGGGACATGGCGGGGAGACTTTTCATGTTGCTCTTGGAGAAGGAGGAGAAAATGGACGGCACAGCAGTGGTCAAGGATCTCAAAGTGGAACTCTTGGGAGAGGTCAGTTGTGGACTAAAAGTGGGGATGCTGCTTTGAAACTCAATTCACAATTTACCCGTGAAGATCTGGGGTAGAATAAATCTTCAGCAACCCATGCTTGACGTAAGAGGCGACTTATTTACAGACCGCCGTCATATAGCTGGAATATTGCTGAGTGCGGCATTAAGCAACAAACAAACAAACAATACAAAATTTATTTAAGGATATTAAGGAGTTATAAGAGAGCTGATATTATTGCCATTTTTTGTATTTCTGTTGGCTAGCTAATGTTGTCACATCTTCTATTTCATGCTAATGACTCTGTTGAGATTTCGCGGTAGCATAGGTCCCCAGTACCACTTGTTTTGTATGCTCTCTGGGGACTCAGAATAGGTCCTTAGTACTCCATGCTTGTTTTCTGTGGAGCCTCTGGTATATAATCCATTCCCAGTACCCCATGCTTGACTCCCTGTGGGGATTCCGGGACACAATACCCAGTACCCCATGCTTGACTCTCTGTGGGGATTTCGGGACACAATACCAAATACCCCATGCTTGACTCCCTGTGGGGATTCCGGGACACAATACATAGTACCCCATGCTTGACTCCCTGTGGGGATTCCGGGACACAATACCCAGTACCCCATGCTTGACTCTCTGTGGGGATTCCGGGACACAATACCCAGTACTCCATGCTTGACTCTCTGTGGGGATTCCGGGACACAATACCCAGTACCCCATGCTTGACTCCCTGTGGGGATTCCGGGACACAATACCCAGTACCCCATGCTTGACTCTCTGGGGATTCCGGGACAGAATACTTTCCCAGTACCCATGCTTGTCTCTCTGTGGGAATTCCGGGACAGAATACTTTCCCAGTACCCCATGCTTGACTCTCTGTGGGGATTCCGGGACACAATACCCAGTACCCCATGCTTGACTCCCTGCGGGGATTCCAGGACACAATACCCAGTACCCCATGCATGACTCCCTGTGGGGATTCCCTGACAGAATACTTCCCCAGTACCCCATGCTTGACTCTCTGTGGGGATTCCAGGACACAATACCCAGTACCCCATGCTTGACTCCCTGTGGGGATTCCGGGACACAATACCCAGTACCCATGCTTGTCTCTCTGCGGGGATTCCGGGACAGAATACTTCCCCAGTACCCCATGCTTGACTCCCTGTGGGGATTCCGGGACACAATACCCAGTACCCCATGCTTGACTCCCCGTGGGGATTCCGGGACACACTACACCCAGTACCCCATGCTTGACTCCCTTGTGGGGATTCCCTGACAGAATACTTCCCCAGTACCCCATGCTTGACTCCCTGTGGGGATTCCGGGACACAATACCCAGTACCCCATGCTTGACTCCCTGTGGGGATTCCGGGACACAATACCCAGTACCCCATGCTTGACTCCCTGTGGGGATTCCGGGACACAATACCCAGTACCCATGCTTGTCTCTCTGCGGGGATTCCGGGACAGAATACTTCCCCAGTACCCCATGCTTGACTCCCTGTGGGGATTCCGGGACACAATACCCAGTACCCATGCTTGTCTCTCTGCGGGGATTCCGGGACAGAATACTTCCCCAGTACCCCATGCTTGACTCCCTGTGGGGATTCCGGGACACAATACCCAGTACCCCATGCTTGACTCCCTGTGGGGATTCCAGGACACAATATCCAGTACCCCATGCTTGACTCCCTGTGGGGATTCCGGGACACAATACCCAGTACCCCATGCTTGACTCCCTGTGGGGATTCCAGGACACAATACCAAATACCCCATGCTTGACTCCCTGTGGGGATTCCAGGACACAATACCCAGTACCCCATGCTTGACTCCCTGTGGGGATTCCGGGACACACTATACCCAGTACCCCATGCTTGACTCCCTGTGGGGATTCCGGGACACAATACCCAGTACCCCATGCTTGACTCCCCGTGGGGATTCCGGGACACACTACACCCAGTACCCCATGCTTGACTCCCTTGTGGGGATTTCCTGACAGAATACTTCCCCAGTACCCCATGCTTGACTCCCTGTGGGGATTCCGGGACACAATACCCAGTACCCCATGCTTGACTCCCTGTGGGGATTCCGGGACACAATACCCAGTACCCCATGCTTGACTCCCTGTGGGGATTCCGGGACACAATACATAGTACCCCATGCTTGTTGTATAATAATGAGAGTAATGAGAATTGGAGCACTATCCTGAATCGATCATTAGCCCTCATTGTGTATGGGACCGCCTCCCTGGTCTAATGGTAGAGCGTCCGCCCGGAGAGCGGAAGGTCCGGGGTTCGATCCCCAGCCACTTCATACCAAAAGACGTTAAAAGATGGTACTTGTTGTTACCCTGTCTGGCGCTCGGCATTAAGGTGCTAAAACAAGGACTGGTCAGCTCGGAGTCAGTTTACTGTGTCTGAGTGGGGTATTCATGTTAAACTGCGGCATGGTATCTGGTATCTCAGTGTGCTAGCACTATAAATCGGCATCAATCTGGACTAGTACAAGCAGCCACACACACACACATACACGTGCATGCACGTCGCTATGTAAGTGCAATAATCTTGGGACGCGACGTTAAACCCCATTTCATCTCACCTCATCTCACCTAAACCATAGGTCTGTTAGCAGGAAAACAAGAGCTAGTCTGAACAGTTTGCTTGAGATAGGGGTCGACAGCAGTAGAAACACAGTTTTGGTCCACTTGTCCTTATAATGATAACATATAGCAAAACCCTTATGAATGGCAAATTTCTGCTTGTCCTTATGCAGGGTATGAAACTCCCAAAAATTTCAGCCAGACCACAGGACTGGCTAGCTGAAATACTTGCCAGCCCTGACCAAAACCTGCCTGCCCACTATAATCATATGTTTCTCAGGATAAGCTAACGGGATTTCTTTTAGGTTACATTTTATCATTCATCTTTACATGTGAATTAATGATTATCATCGGGAAATATTTAGAATATTGTCACATATGAAATATAACCCGACCGTCGGGCAGGGGGATTTGAAAATCTGGCAGCCCGAGTTGAAATCAACCCGTCTCGGACGGTCGGGCAGGCAGGTATTTCGAACACTGCCTTATGATACCTTAACTATTGGGCAGTTTGGCAACGACTACAGAACTAGTGCCAATTTCTAACACTGGTCTAGCGGCGTAGATACTGTGTTCTCTTATCAATCAAGATATTGATTCATTAAAGAAGTAAGCCCCCATATTCTCTCATCTTCATTCCTGCAGAAATGAAAACTTGTCCTGCAATGTGTGTTGTTTTAGCATCCTCTTCTTACTTGCAGACAACAATCGCAGAATGCATCACATACTTGGACAATGGTGTTGTTTTCATCGGATCGCGTCTTGGAGACTCCCATCTAGTCAAGGTACTGAGTTTTTTCTTTATGATTTCATACATAGTATTAGCTATGAGAGTCATGGAAAATGTTTTTCAGGATTTGCGATGTTATAGGCCACCACAATTAAATTGGGGGTCACAGGTGGCCTAGTCGTCTGAGGCGCCGCGATTCGCTGTGCAGAGTTGCGTCCCTTGGGCACGCCAGAAACCTATGACTGTGGGTTCGAATCCCGGTTCGGCCCGATTATGTTTCTAGGTTTGTCAGCACCATACCCGTGCTCGTGGGTTTCACCGAAGTGATAAACGTCTGAGACCTGCATCACTTCGGGCTTTCCTCCCACATTAAGCTGCACGCCGCAATATAACTGGAATACTGTTAAAGGCGGCGTTAAACCTAACTCACTCACTCACACACTCACAATTAAATTGCATGAGAAACATGTCTACTTTCAGGTGTAACTATAGTAATCCATTTTGTCCTTAGGTTGTGCAGCAAGCTTCTAGTATGAAAAGTTTTTATGCTCAGATTAGCAGGCTTTTGAATTTGTCATGGACAAAGTGTTCGCTCGTCATGCCGAAGACCCAGGGTCGATTCCCGATATGGGTACAATGTGTGAAGCCCATTTTTACATCATGCTGGAATATTGCTAAAAGCGGCGTAAAACCTCACACTCACTCACTCACTCACTCACTCACTCACTCACTCACTCACTCACTCACTGTCATGGACAATTTTCGGGTCATGAGGATATGACTGCCTCCGTGGTCTACTGGATAGAGCGTCTTCCCAGAGGATGAATGCCAGGGGTTCGATTCTATGGCCCCTTCATACCAAAAGATGGTACTTGTTGTTTCCCTGTCTGCGCTCAGCATTGAGGGATAAAACAAGGGCTGGTCGACTCACGAGTCCTTATAATGTCTGAATGGAGTATTCATGTCAAACTGCGGCATGGTATCTCAGTGAGATAGCACTATGAAAACGGCATTAGTCCGGACGAGTACAAGCAGGCGCACGCATGCACATGCATGGACATCATAATGTGACATTTTGAGCAAGATGTTAAACCCCATCTTACTTAACTATTGATCATGTTTTTGGAAAAGTATTGATAATGATAATTGCATTCACATCATGTACACTGTGTTTGACCAATGTTTCACCTTGGCTTACAGCTGAATGTGGATTCGGATGAAAGTGGATCGTATGTGCAGGTCATGGAGACGTTCACCAACCTCGGACCCATTGTTGACATGTGTGTCGTCGACCTTGAGAGACAGGGTCAGGGACAGGTCGGTGGTTGAAATCTAAGTTATTTTCAACACATACACATGCATGGTAGAATTAGTCAGCAGTTCTGTGTATCATCACGGAGTACTGAAGATCTACTCCTTACTGTTTAAGGACGGCAACAGGGGTGGTGTTTAAAGGATTTTGCTGGTGTCCACTGACTTGATATGGCTGTACTAGCTTTTTGCTAAATTAATGTAAGAACTCAATCTTTTAATACGTGTCAGGACTTCTGTACCCACATAATTAATACACAGCCCCCATTTCTTGTCTACAGGCTATGGACTATGAACATTTAATGAACTGAGTCGAACCGGGTGGATTTTTTACAGGTGGCTGTCACGTAGCTGGAATATTGCTGAGTGTGACATTCAACATTATAAGGGTCTCCTGTAGCAGTCTATTGGCCTCATCTGCCACATACCCACTGGGGCGTCTGTTTGGCATCCAGTTAAACAACAAACAAACAAACATCTGACATAGCCAGTAGTTTACCTGGACACACACATGTAATGGTTCTGTGGCTGCTACTCTTGCAGCTGGTCACTTGCTCCGGGGCCTACAAGGAAGGATCACTGAGGATCATCCGAAATGGAATCGGTATCCACGAACACGCCACCATTGATCTGCCAGGAATTAAAGGTACATTAACTGATGGCGAAAGGGAATAACCCTTAGTTAATGTATTGCTTCTTTCCTATGAATTATTTCCATTTTTAGTTGTGAGGTAGATTACTGTAAATCGTGAAATTAATGCGTCTCAAAAAGAATGCGTCTCAAAAAGAATGCGACCGCTGGCCCCTAGTCAATAATGCGACTCAATATGAATGCAACACCCCCCTCCTCCCAAGCATCAGTGGATTTATATCTAAAGAAAATGTCCTCTGTCAGGTTTACAGGAGAATCCTCACCCTCATCCAACCTAACATTAATCCAATCACACACCAAATAGTACCGCTCATTAGCACTGATTAGAATACTTCCGCTAAAATAATACATGCATGTGTCGGCCTTTGATGCAGTCGCAAAGAACAAAGACACCGTGTTGCGTGGGTGGCGTCTGTCTGGACTTGCAGGTGTGATCAGTGATGACCTAAGTTTGTAGAACTCTTGTCTTGACCCCAGCAGTGACAATTCACAGGATGTAATTAGTGTTTGAATGGCATTGTTTATATACTTGTTACAAGTGCTGCTCAATAAACAGTGATGTGGAATACATAGTTGTTTGTTGTCAGCGTATGTCTGAGTTGGTATTTCTGCTATCCAAAATGTCTTATTGTTGATATAAATGAGTTGTTTTATAATGCGAGCAAAGACCACCTGCATTTTTCGCATTTAATTCACGCTTGCGTTAATTTCAAGATTTACAGTATCTGCTATCAACTGACATGGCTCATTGTCCTTTCAAGCACTGTTTCTATAAGCATGGGGTCCTTGCCACTACCCTAATGTTAGCAATAAAGAGGGTTTGGCATGCTTCTGCTTCTGAACAAAAAGGGGCGATCGGGTAGCCTAGTGGTTAAAGCGTTCGCTCGATTCCTGACATGGGTACAATGTGTGAAGCCCATTACTGGTGTCCCCTGCCATGATATTGCTGGAATATTGCTAAAAGCGGCGTAAAACCAAACTCACTCACTCTGAACCAAACTGTTTGCAGGTCATTTTTTAGCCCATTTCACAGTCACGGATAATTATCGTGTAAATTAGTTTATATTTCAAAGAGATTCATTCTTTCTTATCAATCTGATAGTGCTTTAATCCATAATGCCAGGTTTATGTTTTTGCATGTACTAATCAGGACTGCATCTCATATTACTGTAACATATGAAGTTTGTGACAACTTGTCAGACGGACCAACTTGGGCGTTGTTGATATTGTTAAGCCACTGTTCCCCATATTTACTACACGGTATTCTCGGGTAACGAGTAATCATGTTTCACAAGAAGAAGAAAAAAGACATTTCACAGAAAACGTGTAATTTATTTGCAAATGCGAAATAACGTATCACAGCTATTCTTAACGTGAAATATCGAATCACAGCAAATTAATAGAGCCAATAACGTATAACGAAGGAGGTATTCCCTACCCGCAATAAACAATTAACCTGGTGCCTAGATCAAACACTATTGCAGAATACCCCAATGCCCTAAGAATCCCCCTTTGTTACTAGGAGCTGATAACTTTCCCTGCAATGTCATTGTCATGTTTATTGATATCATCTGCCAAAAGTGGTGGAGGAGGATGGGTGCTGTCCGTCAATTAATAAATCATTGTGTTTCCTAACTTATCAGTAAAGTAGTAAAATGCTTACTTCTATGTTTTGGGATGTTTTTATCTTTCATTTTTTGCTAATCCCATCAAAACAAATTGAAATCCCCAGTGTATTCAATGCTCATAGTGTCACTTGGTAGAATAGGTCTTCAGCAACCCATGCTTGTCGTAAATTGCGACTATGCTTGTTGTAAGAGGCGACTAACGGGATCAGGAAATCAGGCTTGCTCGTTGGTCGATGCATGTCACAGTATCCCAATTACATAGATCAATGCTCATGACGTCAATCACTGGATTGTCTGGTCCAGACTCAATCATCACAAACCATAAATATATAGCTGGAATATTGCTGTGTGCAGCATGAAACATGAAACAAAGAAACAAAATGAGATGGTTAAAGTGTCGTAGACTTTTGGGAACAAGTCGCAGGCAGCTTCTGTGGTCTTGCACTAACCAGAACATACCATTGTTAAGCAGGGGATGTGTATTTCATGATTGTTCACTTCAGGAATCTGGCCCCTGAGGGTGAACTCCCCGGACTTCGACAATTTGCTCGTGCTTTCTTTTGTTGGACAAAGTCGGTGAGTATTTACAAGTTATTTCTTATCCTGATACAGCAATGTGTTGCTTATCCTGCATTATGTGAAAATGGCAGTTAACAAGACCATCTTTAAAATTAAAAAATGGACAGTTTGTAAGGGCAGCATGTCTGTTGGGTGAAAAGCAGTAATGTGGAGTTTAAGTGACGTCATCACATCGGGATTACATGGTCTCATCTGCTGGGTCCTGCCTCACACTGCAGGATAAGCATACAAATGTAAAGAATATTTGGATTTGACAAATATTTCAAATTTCCTCTTTCTTCGATCCAATGACACAGAAACAAAACGTGCCTCTCTGCCAGGGGGCACTTTCCACCAGGTCACCACTCAGAGTTACCTCCTCTTATAAACCTCTGATGACGTGACACTGCAGTAACAAAAGGTTCTTCTAAATGTTGATAAACTTCCAAGGTCAGGCAATACGTTTTATAAAGTTGCCTCTTGATGTGAACTCAATTGTGTTTGATGATTGGTTCCATGACGTGAATCGAACCTGCAACCTCACATATCGCGTTAAGTTTGTAACCCACTGTTTTCCCACTGAGCTACTGGGGCAGGTGATAAGAAGTTGTTCAGTTTATCATGTCATGACTCTAGCTAGTCCATGCTGCACGTGTAAGTTTTTTCTTTTGCACCCTTTGAGCGAAATCCTTTTATACCACGATACACTGTATTGTTTCACCACAAGGTATGTCGATGTTTTCATATTTTTCAAGGTATTTCTTGCATTTAGACGGTTCATAAGTTGGATAAAACACCCCTCCTCGGTTTTGGTTGGAAAAACTTCTTTTTTGTGTGTGTAAAACCTTGACCTCAGGAAAAGGCCAAGGACAGGATTAGGTGTGTTTTTCGATACTTGAACAATATTAGACGCCATGGTGATGTGTCTGTGAAATCTGCTGTTCAATCAGAGGTGGTTTTCATGATGTAAAGTCTCTGATTGACCAGTCAGAATCAAGTAGAATTCTCAATACATTATAGTCAGGTCCATGTACCAAGTAAAGGTAATCCCATGTGTTTGGTGTTGCAGTGTTCTCATGTTGAATGGTGAAGAGGTGGAGGAGACAGAAATGGCTGGATTTGACGGGGACCAGCAGACATTCTTCTGTGGCAATGTTGTTGGGAACCAGTTGGTGCAGGTTAGTAACAATGGCAATGTGAATCCTACTCGTCAGGCAGTATGTCTACACACGTGCCCCAGTCATCTATTGCATGCAAGTCTCTATGGAGAGTTGGGGGCGGTCGGGTAGCCTAGTGGTTAAAGCGTTCGCTCATCACGCCGAAGACCCGGGTTCGATTCCCGACATGGGTACAATGTGTGAAGCCCATTTCTGGTGTCCCCCGCCGTGATATCGCTGGAATACTGCTAAAAGGGGCGTAAAACATACTCACTCACTCACTATGGAGAGTTGTGTCCCTTAGGCATGCCAGAACCCTATTAGCATAGATTCAAATCCCAGCTTCACCCAATGTTCCTAGGGGGGGCACGGGTGGCCCAGTCGTCTAAGGCGCCGCGATTCACTGTGCAGAGTTGCGTCCCTTGGGCACGCCAGAAACTTATGATTGTGGGTTCGAATCCCGGTTCACCCCAATTAGGCTTCTAGGTTTGTCAGCACCATACCTGTGCTCGTGGGTTTCACCGAAGTGGTAAACATGTGAGACCTGCATCACTTCGGGCTTTCCTCCCACATCAAGCTGACATGCCGTGATATAACTGGAATACTGTTAAAAGCGGCATTAAACCCAACTCACTCACTGTGTTCCTAGGTTTGTCAGCACTGTCCTCAGGGTTTCACTGAAGTGGTAAACATCTCAAACCTGCATTGCTTTGGGCTCTCCTCGGACAACCTGATCACGCTGACACCCCATGAGCCTAGTGGTTAAAGCATGCCCTGCACACTCTGATTGCCTGGGTTCTACTCCCTACTGGGGTACAATGTGTGAAGCCTATTTCTGCTGTTCCCCACCATGGTATTGTTGAAATATTACTAAAAATTGGACCTGTGAAGATCCGTGGCAGAATAGGTCTTCTGCAACCCATGCTTGCCATAAAAGTCGACTATGCTTGTTGTAAGAGGTGAGTAAAAGGAGCGGGTGGTCAGGCTCGCTGACTTGGTTGATGCATGTCATTGTATTCCATTTGTGGTGGATCGATGCTCATGATGTCAATCACTGGATTGTCTGGTCCAGACTTGATTATTTACAGATCGCCATTTTCTAGCTGGAATATTGCTGAGTGTGATGTTGAACAACAAACAGACAAACTATCTACAAATTGCCTAAAACCGTATTCACTCATTCAAGGAAGAAGCACTTCATGTTGATGTTCTCTGCAGATCACCCCCAGTTCTATCCGGCTGATCAGCTGTGACAGCAAGACATTGGTGGCTGAGTGGAAACATCCCTCGGGGAAGAACATCAGTCTGGCCAGTTGTAACACCTGTCAGGCTGTCGTCGCCATCGGCAGCGAGCTCTACTATCTCAAGATACTCACAGGAGATATTAAGGAAGTCAGGCAAGTAGAGTTCAGCATTTGGTAGAGATAACATTCTACTGAGTAATGATCCTTGGTTCATCAGCACTATGGTTGTACATGTTGAAATACTTATGAAATACTGTTGATTATTTATGAAATACCTACGAAATGCTGTTGATTACTTATGAAATACTTACGAAATGCTGTTGATTACTTATGAAATACTTATGAAATGCTGTTGATTACTTATGAAATACTTATGAAATACTGTTGATTACTTATGAAATACCTACGAAATACTGTTGATTACTTATGAAATACTTACGAAATGCTGTTGATAACTTATGAAATACTTACGAAATGCTGTTTACTTATGAAATACCTACGAAATGCTGTTGATTACTTATGAAACACTTACAAAATGCTGTTGATTACTTATGAAATACCTACGAAATGCTGTTGATTACTTATGAAACACTTACGAAATGCTGTTGATTACTTATGAAATACTTACGAAATGCTGTTTAATTACATTTTCTTGTGTTCTAGTTGTAGATTCTCAAATAATTGTTTGCATTATTTCAACTAAAAGCAGACGCGATTTGTCTCTTTAATTTTTGCGATTTTTTAATATTACTAATGTAGGAATGCAGGCACATAACTTTGAAGATGGGCAGGCAGCACTTATGGGTCACCTGCCCAACTCTCTTGTTGGGTTTTAAACTTATTCAAACACTGATGAGCAATGATTCTATGAGAGGACTGTACCATCCCTGGAATAAGTGTTGATATTGTTGTTTGTGTGCAGCCACGCCACCATGGAGCATGAGGTGGCTTGTGTCGACATCAGTCTCACCAAGACGGGCAAGGATGAGGCGGAGCTGTGTGCTGTGGGGCTGTGGACAGACATATCCGTCCGTGTCCTCAAACTCCCCAACTTCGATAGTCTGCATGTGGAGATGCTGGGTGGAGGTGAGATACAGGGGTGCATTCGGGTGACATGTTTTCTCTGTCCTCTGGGAACTCTTTTCTTGAAGTTTTCACTACCTTTCAGAAATGAGTAGAGATAAACAATAAGTATGAGTCAGGATAAGAATAAATAATAATTTTACCTGTAAAAATACATATTTGGAGGCTATATGTAGCTTATTCTGAACCATAGATAGGTGGTAATAGTGTAACGCTATGAGCATTCACCTGGGGAATGAATTCACTCTATTATTGAAGGGCTTCTCAGCAGATACCATGCCACCATTTCTTACTCTGATGTACTGTTTGCAGAGATCATCCCCCGGTCCATCCTGCTGACGACGTTTGAAGGCATCCACTATTTACTGTGTGCTCTGGGAGATGGGTCTCTGTTCTACTTCAATCTCAGCGTCGGCGAACAGACGAAAGGTACACAAACAAATCATTCCAAGTAGCAAGGCCTCGGGATTTAGGATGCCACCCACAGTGTCAGTCTGAAGGAGGGAGGCACAAACAATTCAGTGTTCAGATTACTTCCCTTAGTTGTGCCAGGATCTACTGTTTGTAGGTTTGACTCCAAGGCTCAGCCAATTATGACTCTTGAATTGTCAGCACTGAAGGTTTCAAGAAACTTTTTGTGCCACTTTCGTCACGAATTTATCTGAAGTGAAGTCCTCAATGGCATGTTGCTTAACATTAGAGTTTGAGAGAAAGATGTAAAGGCATTGAAAATCTTATGTTAGAAACCTTCTTTAGAAATAAATATCCGTAGAAAAGGTTTGATATTTTTTAAACGAGCTAGTGGACATACTTCAAGGGCATATCCAGCATTTTTAAAAGGGAGGGGTCCAAAATATCAAAATCCTCTCTCATAATTTTACTGCATGGCTGAAATAATGCTGATGCGACGTTAAATTTTATCTCAGTCACTCACTAATTTTACTGCCTACAACATACTACATTTGGTTTTCAAAAGGGGGGTGTCTGGAATCCCAGCATCCCCCTCTGGATCTGCCTATGTCCTTAAACATGTTGAGTGATGTTGTTGTCCGATGCAGGTATTCTGAATGAGAAGAAGAAGGTGACCCTGGGGACACAACCCACAGTCCTGCGCACCTTCAAGTCGCTCTCGACCACCAACATCTTCGCCTGTTCCGACAGGCCCACGGTCATCTACTCCTCCAATCACAAGCTTGTTTTCTCCAATGTTAATCTCCGAGAAGTCAACCATATGTGTCCACTTAACTCCGATGGCTATCGGGACAGGTCTGTAAACCTACCTTGTCTACTGGTCATTACAACCCGTGAAGATTCCGGGTTAGAATAGGTCTTCAGCAACCCATGCTTGCCGCAAAAGGTGACCATGCTTGTTGTAAGAAGCGACTAACGGGATCGGGTGGTCAGACTGGCATAGTTGGTTGATGCATGTCATCGTATCCCAATTGCGTGGATCGAAGCTCATGATGTCAATCACTGGACTGTCTGACCCAGACTGGATTATTTACAGACCGCCGTCATATAGCTGGAATATTGCTGAGTGCGGCGTTAAACAAAAAAACAAACAAGCTAGCTAAGTCGTTAACAGTTATTATAGCTAAAATGGATAGAATTATCATTAAACCGCCCGCACGTTATCAGAAATGAGCGGGCCACTGTAACTTGATAATGCCCTCATATTGCTTGACGACGGGCCATTATCAAGCCCGTTGTGAGGTGACGTCATAGGGTAGAGAAAGCGACGTCACGTATTATAGTGACGTCATCCGGTTTGTTCTATGACGTTTCCATGTTTGTAAAATGGGGTCAGTGACATTCGTGTTGATTGCAGTAAATGTTTCAAAACTGATGTTGTTGTTTCGTTTTATTTGATAACAAATTCCATCCATTTTAGCTATAATAACGATAACGCTATTTTTCAGGGCATTATCATATGCAGAAGCCCTCGGTCTTTTCAACTGCCCTCCTTCGTCGGGCAGTTAATGGAAAACCTCGGGCTTCTGCAAATGATAATGCCCTGAAAAATAGCGTTATCCTTATATGATCAGTCATGTTAATCAGGGCACTGTATTAATGTTCCAATTAATCCCCTGCTACACCAAATATCCAGGTTTGTTTCCCAGGACAGTGTGTCATTGTATGAAGATCATTCAACTACTTTACTTGAGAAATCTAACTCATAAACTAATTATTGTTACGCCAATGTCTTTTTTGTCTGGGGGGCACGGGTGGCCCAGTCGTCTGAGGCGCCATGATTCACTGTGCAGAGTTGCGTCCCTTGGGCACGCCAGAAACCTATGATTGTGGGTTCGAGTCCCGGCTCGCCCCGATTATGTTTCTAGGTTTGTCAGCACCATACCCGTGCTCGTGGGTTTCATCGAAGTGGTAAACGTCTGACACCTGCATCACTTGGGGCTTTCCTCCCACATTAAGCTGACATGCCGTGATATAACTGGAATACTGTTAAAAGCGGCGTTAAACCCAACTCACTAACTCACTCACTTTTCTGTCTGACAGTTTGGCTCTAGCCAGTGATAGTTCTCTGATTATCGGCACCATTGATGAAATCCAGAAACTTCACATCCGAACCATCCCCCTGGGAGAGTCTCCAAGGTAAGCCTCATCAGCTCTACCAGCAGCATCTCAGTCTGTGTTCGTAATCTAGTCTCCATTTTACTATCTTGCTCACGGGCGGTCGGGTAGCCTAGTGGTTAAAGCGTTCGCTCGTCACGCCGAAGACCGGGGTTCGATTCCCGACATGGGTACAATGTGTGAAGCCCATTTCTTGTGTCCCCCGCCGTGATATTGCTGGAATATTGCTAAAAGCGGCGTAAAACCATACTCACTCACTCACTCACTATCCTGCTCACACCAGTACATCATCTGATGTTAACCCCTCTGAAACCAATGGGTAACATGATTTAGTACTGATTCTACCATGACATTGATGAATGCTTGATTCTGATTGGTTAAAAAGAGGTTTCCTTTTTGTTATGGCAACCCCTTTCAAATATATTAAACCTTTTCGCACAAAACGCGTACGTATCAATACAACGATAGCCTACATATCGATTCATAAAAAGAATGGCTGCTGGTCAATCACCCCCATATGATAAAGCGCTCGGTTCATAATTAAAATAAGAGGTATCTACTCTACAGTGGGACGACATCAAGTTTCAAAACACAGTAGGTTTGGCTCCAATATCACTGAGGGGCGGTCGGGTAGCCTAGTGGTTAAAGCGTTCGCTCGTCATGCTGAAGACCAGGGTTCGATTCCCGACATGGGTACAATGTGTGAAGCCCATTTCTGGTGTCCCCCGCCGTGATATTGCTGGAATATTGCTAAAAGCGGCGTAAAACCATACTCACTCACTCCTATATCACTGGTTCCTTCTTGTTTCAGACGTATAGCTTATCAAGAATCCTCGGAGACGTTTGGCATCATCTCATTCCGTACCGACATCCAGGACAACCAAGGGACACGAGCCACCCGGGTCAGCGCCAGCACCCACGCCAACAACGTCAGCGTCAGCTCCAACGCCAAACTCATGACTGGATCGTCCACGTCAACGTCAGAACATACATACGGGGATGAAGTGGAGATTCATTCTCTGTTGGTGATCGATCAGCATACATTTGAGGGTGGGTTGGTTGATAACATTGATGGATAGGAATTATATTGAAAGCTGTGTGCTAGTGCTAGGATGGATAACTCGGGTACTCGGGTCGGTTGGGTATTGAGAAGGAACTGGGTACCCGCAGGATTACCCAGACCCATGGTTAATCATGTGATATTATGTTTAATGACAAAAATTATCTGACACTCCATGGTTACACTACAAGTCACTAATGTTCGCATTCCTTTCTGATTATGCACCCATTCCTTCTGACTTTCACATGTTTGATAAAAATATGACTTCAGTCAACTTCAGTGTATGCATGACCAGATCGTTTTATACGTGTTTCTAAATATATTCCTATTGAAACATCTGTTGAGACCTACAGTGGGTACCCAGGTAGTAAATTTGGACTCGTACCAGCCCTAGTGTGCTCTATCGGATTTCATAACCCAAGACTGCATTCATGACATGATAATGTCCAGTGTATGCATTCATGACTATTGATATTATTTTAGCTTGTTTGATAGGCATTACTTAGAAGTTGGCGGATGACAAGATAGACACAATTTTATGGATAACAACTTCTTTAATACTGTAAAAAGCGACGTTTCGGTATAGATCCTGATACCGTTGTCAAGCAAGGTTGACAACGGTATAAGGATCTATACCGAAACGTCGCTTTTTACAGTATTAAAGAAGTTGTTATCCATAAAATTGTGTCTATCTTGATATTATTTGACTTTTCAGTCCTGTTTGCGCACCAGTTAATGACTAATGAATGTGCAACAAGTCTGATCTCGGCCAAGCTAGGAGAGGACGCCAGCACGTACTACATCGTAGGCACAGCTCTCGTCTACCCGGATGAGGCGGAGCCCAAACAGGGGCGCATCCTCATCTTCCATTTCAAGGATGCCAAGCTGACGCAGGTGGCAGAGAAGGAAATCAAAGGAGCCGCCTACACACTGGTGGAGTTTAATGGCAAGCTGCTGGCCAGTATCAACAGCACGGTGAGTAGACCACAAAAGTGGGACAGGGTTCATTCTAGGAATTTTCTGACATTTCAAATATTCCAGAGTTAGACCCATTCTTGCCAATACAGCACAAGGTTTTAATGCCCCTTTGTATTTGAAAATGTGGCCCTTTTTTCAAAATTAGGGGACACCATACCCTTCCTCGTGGGTTTCACCGAAGCGGTAAACGTCTAAGACCTGCATCACTTCGGGCTTTCCTCCCACATTAAGCTGACACGCCACGATATAACTGGAATAATGTTAAAAGCGGCGTTAAACCCAACTCATTCACTCACTCTAATTTAGGGGCTAAAAGCACACAGCCCCATCCTAGAATTATCCCTGGTGGAATATTAGGAAGTAGATTTCTTGTGTCCCCACCCTACCTCCCTGTATAGTATGTCACATTTGGTCACGACACAGATTTTGTTCCCTAGAGGGGACATTGCAATGTGTAAAGTGATCAGGTTAACCTTCGACTTTCCCCTACCTGAGATATCAATTCGTTAGACTACAACATGCTGTGGTTGCAGGTCCGGTTATTTGAGTGGACGGCCGAGAAGGAACTCCGCCTGGAGTGTAGTCATTTCAACAACATCATTGCCCTGTATCTCAAGACGAAGGGGGACTTTGTGTTGGTGGGCGACCTCATGAGGTCGATCACATTGCTGGCATACAAGCCTCTGGAGGGAACCTTTGAAGAGGTATGTGGGACTCAAGTCCACCAAGTACATCAAGTTTTGGTCATCTGACATGATCAAATATATCACAAAATTGAGTGAAAAGCCTGAAACTTTTGCCACTATGAATGAAAATATGAGTACGAACAAGTCTATATCCCAATATGAATTTTTCACCATTTCACCATATGTTGGTACCGTTTTTATCTACATCTCTGAAAATCATTTCCAGCCAAAGACTTCCTCTTGTTTAATATAAGAAAACTGTTTCATAATAAAACATTGTGCTATCATGCTTCATTTCTGGAGATTCGAACATGTGTTCACAACTTGCTGACGTCGTAAATTGGACAATTTGTTTTTTTAGAATGGGGGTGTCTTGTGAGTTGTTCCCCGTAGATGCAGCTTGGCACTGTAGATAAACGCATTGGGCAAGCAATCGCATTCAAACGTGGGAAAGATATGAGAGGATCGGTATTGGGTGATAATTGACGTGAAAATTGTGAGAATATCCGGGATGTATGAAACTTAACCCCCACTCTCATATCTCATATATCTCATAAAAGAAAACCTACTCGCGGTCGTTGTTTATACTCCCTGCAGTGTTTTATTGTACGATAAACAGCTCTCACTCGTCTTTGTTTCTCCAATAAGTTTCAATGAGTTCAGACCTGTTAGTTGTGTGGCAAAGATTGGACTTTACTTTCCAGATTGCCCGAGATTGTAACCCAAGCTGGATGACGGCTGTTGAAGTGTTGGATGACGACAACTTCCTGGGAGCAGAGAACTCGTTCAACATATTCACATGTCAGAAGGATAGGTGAGAGATGGAAGCTGACTGAAGACTCCTACATTCACAATGAACACTTTCTCATGCTTGTTGCCTATGGCAATCGTTCCCATGGTAACAGCATCCTGTGACGTGGCATTGACAGGCATCCATCCCTCTGGGGATTCCGGGTTGGAATTGGTCCCCAGCTATGTTGGTCATTAAAGTGGATCAGGTGGCCAGGCTCGCTGACGTGCTTGATTGCATGTCATCGTATCCCAATTTTATAGATCGATGTTCACGACGTCAATCACTGGATTGTCAAGTCCAGACTCAATTATTTACAGACCGCCGTCATATAGCTTGAATATTGCTGAGTACGGCGTTAAACAAACAACAAACAAACAAACAAAAATCAGTGACTTGGTAACCGATGGTGTGGATAGTTTTGAATAATATCTATCACTGGATTGTTTGGTGAATATTGAATATTTAATGGCCATGGGAATATTCAAGGGTAGAAACTAAAAGTTTTAGTCCACTTGTCCTTACAATGATAACATATAGCAAAACCCTTTAAAATGACACATTTTTACTAGTCCTTATGATACCTTAACTATTGGCCAGTTTGGCAAGTACTACAGGACTAGTGCCAATTTTTAATGCTGATATTGCTGGTTGCACTACAGCTAGACTAACAGACATACCCTTTAAGAACTTATTGTAGCATGTGGATGATCTCTGCTCCAGTGCTGCAGCAACAGATGAAGACCGGCAACAGCTGCAAGAAGTGGGCCTCTTCCATCTCGGCGAGTTTGTCAATGTCTTCAGACATGGTAAGCCGATAAGTCTTTATAGTTTCAGGCCAACATTAGGCCAAACTCAGTATATAATGCTATCAAAAAACTTTCTTTCACATTTTAGTTATCAAGTCAACTAAAACGAACAAACAAGTATCTACAGCTATCTTTTCCTTTTGAACCTGCTCGGAAATTTTTATAGTTAAGATGTTTCTACACGATTTGGCGTAAATATGCCTATCGCGATACATATCATATCGTATCGTGACCTTGCTGTATCGTTTCACCCCTAACGATTAAGCGGCATAGTGACTACAATTATTTCAAATGCAGCATTATTGCCTAATAACAAAACTTCGCTCTTCCTAAAGAAAACCTCAGAAACCAAATCTTATTGAAAATCTGATCCCTCTCTGCATGAGAGTCACAACAACCAATCGAAGATCACGTCGGTGAACTTTCTAATTGACCAATCAGTCACCGCTTCTACGTTACCGGTATGAGTATACCCAGTTCTGAATGTAAATAATAAAAAGTCACAATTATATTGTGGATACTTTATACATCGTTTCAATTCTGAGTGGGTGGGTAGGGTTGTCCATGTGTTGGTGATGTGTAGACCTCCGTGTTGTGTGTTGCAGGATCACTGGTGATGCAACATGCGGGGGAAAATGCTACACCTCTCCAGGGCTCCGTGCTCTTCGGAACCGTCAACGGTGCAGTGGGTAAGTACAGGAAACCACAAGGAAGAAGGAATTTCATAATTTCATTTTGGAAAGTTTCTGGATTTAGACATCATATGGACTTGTGAAATGATGTGTGTACTCCCTTCCCTTCCCAACTGTTTAACTGATACTTCTATTGGGGAGTTTCCAAATTTTCCTTATCAGCTAATTACTCCATGTATCCCGAATGTTTGTCGTATGTGATACGCTTGTGGATGTGGAGTCTAATGGGTAAATACAAATTTGGCATTTTTGTTTCTATCAGAGCTCCAGATAAGCTGCTTATCTGCATGAAATACGCATCAGAAATGCAGAAATACGCTGTAAAATATAATTTATGCGTATCGAATACGCATAATTACAGATACGCTACAAAAATAAAACTTGTGCGTATTATCAAAATATTGTGAAGTAACCCTGCGTATTCGATTAGCAAATCAGCAACTTATTTTGAAATTATAAATGGGCATTCCGTCAACCTTGCCAAACTCCACGATGACAGTCACATCATGATCATTTGCCATCACACTTTCTTGTGGAAGTATCGTGGTATTTTTGAGTCCTATAAAGCTCTCGAACCCACACGACACCAGTTTGCAGGGACTAGATGAATAGTGTTTTTAAATATTTAACTTAAATACCCACATGTGTAAAAACTAGTGAGTAACAGAAATTTGAATACGCAGATAGAATTACTGATACCCAATGATTTCAAAATGCATGGGTAAAATACCCACAACACCAAAAGCTTATCTGGAGCTCTGTTCTATCCTGTAAATAAGGCTTAAACAAATAAAAGTATTGGTTCTCAGGCAATGACTTTTGAAAGTATAGTGCGGGTGGGCAGTGTTGTTTTCTTTTGCTTGTTAAAACTAGTATGTAGCCAAATAAACAGTTGTGCACCAGCAACCTGGGAAAGGGCCTCCCTACATAACAAGCTTAACTTCTGATTTGCTGCCTGCCACCTCCGTGGTCGAGTGGTAGAGCGTCCGCCCGGAGAGCGGAAGGTCTGGGGTTCGATCCCCGACCGCGTCATACCAAAAGACGTTAAAAGATGGTACTTGTTGTTACCCTGTCTGGCACTCGGCATTAAGGGGCTAAAACAAGGACTGGTCGGCTCGGGAGTCAGTATACTGTGTCTGACTATTGTCTGACTGTGTATACTATTCATGTTAAACTGCGGCATGGTATCTCAGTGAGCTAGCACTATAAATCGGCATCAGTCCGGACTAGTACAAGCAGCCACACACACACACACACGCGCATGCACGTCGCTATATAAGTGCAATAATCTTGGACGCGACGTTAAACCCAATTTCACCTCACCTCACCTCACCTCTGATTGCTGCCATGACCATAACCCTAGATGTGTAGTCAACAGTGCGCATGTTAAGGGAAGTAACTGTGTGCTATTTGGATCGCATTGTATTTAGGTATTAGGATTTTTGTTTGTTTTGAAAATGGAAATAAATCGAAAAGTGCGGCAGACTTTATGATGATGTGGGCGGCGCCTGAGAACCAAGACTTTTATTTTTTTAGCCTAAGCCTAAAGGATGTAGTGGCAACACCCCAGTCCTTAGTGCTTCCCTGTATCTGCAGCTCTGTGCCCGCCTGACAATACTGCTCAGGTTGGTCTGATGTGACTGCTATAGACGGACTCCCTCTCTCACTGTTGCAGGGTTGGTGGCACAGCTGCCCCACGACTTCTACAACTTCCTCCTGGAAGTCCAGAACCGACTGGCCAAGGTCATCAAGAGTGTTGGCAAAGTGGAACACTCAGTGTATCCTTTCTGTAATTCCTGCTGAAGATAAAGCAGATTTCGCCCAAGTCCACCTTTTGGAATTGGTCCCCAGCAACCTATGTTATAATACCAATACTGACCCATTTGTATAATTGATGACTGATATTTTCATATTTGTTTTCATTCACCTCCTCTTCCACCGAGGTAGCGCTTTATCGAAGAGCACAATAGCGAGGGATCACTGTACTACCAATTCTTCGAGGATGATTCTGTCCCGTCTTAATGGTTTTTGTTTTCATTTACTGAAGTAAGTAAATCCAATGTGTATATTGAAATGTCCTTGACCTAATACAGATGGCGATCTTTCTACACTGAACGTAAGACTGAGGCTTGCGTCGGGTTTATCGATGGTGACCTCATTGAGAGTTACCTTGACCTCTCTCGGGACAAGATGCAGGAGGTTGTGCAGGGGCAACAGCTAACCATGGTAACACCTTCGTAGAAACAATCTGTCCTACTGAGAGAGACACAGAGATAAATGTTGAAGCGTTTCTCTCAATATCGCTACACATTTCTGAGAAATTATGATTCGAACAAGGGATGATGATATGATAATAGTATCATATCTTGCTTCGGGGGACAATGGTGGCATGAGTGCAATTTGATGTCAAGAGTTGCTTACCTTAGGTGTGCCAGCAACCTATGATCATGGGCTCAAATCCTAGATTCACCCTGATTATGATTTTTGATTGTCAGAATCATGTCACATTTGGGGCGGTCGGGTAGCCTAGTGGTTAAAGCGTTCGCTCGTCACGCCGAAGACCCGGGTTTGATTCCCGACATGGGTACAATGTGTGAAGCCCATTTCTGGTGTCCCCCGCCGTGATATTGCTGGAATATTGCTAAAAGCGGTGTAAAACCAAACCCACTCACTCATGTCACATTTGTTTCGCCAAAGTGGTAAAATTCTAAGACCTGCATCACTTTGGGCTTTCCTCCCACCTTAGGACCGCCTCTGTGGTCTAGTGGTACAGCATCCGCCAAGAGAGCGGAAAGTCGGGGGTTTGATCCCCAGCATCATACCAAAAGATGGTACTTTATGTTACCCTGCCTGGAGCTCGGCATAAAGGGGCTGAAACAAGTACTGGTCGGCTTCGAGTCAGTATACTGTGTCTGAGTGGGGTATTCATGTTAAACTGCGGCATGGTATCTCAGTGGGCCAGCACACAAGTGGGACATTAGTCCTAGTCATGCACACACGCACACAATAGTGATGTAATTCCTGTGTACTATATACATACACCAGTGTCATGATGCAATTGTACCCACATTCTAGCTATTACATCTTGACTTAAAGTATGTTTGTGCACTTGTGCTTCCAAATACTTGATGTTTTTATGAGGCAATTATGTCTGTAAATTCAAACTATGTTTTTTCAAAATCATGCATTGTCATATTGGTAAAAAATAACCCAAACACCTTGACACAAAAACATGTTTTAAGCAGTTCATTCTGAAACTGTATTGTAAGATTTCTAATACACTGTAATATTGGTCAGATTGACGACGGTAGCGGCATGAAGCGAGACGCCACGGTGGGAGAACTTGTGAAGATGATAGAGGAGCTGACTCGCATACACTGATGTGACGTCCCCCGAGGTGACATGGTCACCCCACCATATCCGTGCAGACAACAGACTCGAAGCACTAAACTAGACAACTCCCACAAGAACAGTCAATCCTGTGTCCAAGTGCTAAGACTACAACCAGTGCTCTGCGACTACACACCGTTATCCACCTTCACGGGACGACGTCCTGTGTTCTATGTTTGTATTGTGACCACAAGGATGTTTTGTGATATGTATTGGGATAAAGCATCGATATTGATCAACTGGCCATTTTGTCGACGACGGTCAGGACGATTGAGGAATGATCTGGCTGATCGGCATTGTGGACTATGGCACCATGAGAAATTAAGACAACCTGCAATTATGCAACCTTGATGGAAACTCGGAAATTTTTTCTCCGCAATCAATAGAGTTGTAACAATCCATGTCACGATAGCGTATGTTGATAGTAAGGATGCCCTGTGTGATATTGTAGCTCTCGGTATCATTACTCATACTACAGTGAATCGGTCAGCCTTCGTAATCCGACTATCATTTTGTGTTTATTCTTTCTTTTTGACATGTGAAAAAATTAATTAAACAGGCCGTAAAAAGACCTGGGTCTTTCCAAAAATAATTTCTGATTCTTAACCATCACAACTGTCAGACTTTATGAGCTAATTAATAAAGCAGCCATGATTACTCTTGCAAAATGGTACCGACTTGGATGACATGGTGAAGAAAGAAGAAACTGTATAGAATGTAGCAGTTATGTAGACCATAAGTATCTTCTGTAGGAATTGTTTTGGTTCCAGTGTGTCATTTGCAACATTTTGAAACTAATGGTGATATTATTGGTTTCATTTGTGAAATATTCATTGTATGCCTACATCAATAATTGTCTCAACAAAGAATTGGTGGTCTTTGTGTTCACTGGTAGGAGTGTTGAATGTCCAAAACACTATAATCATTTCTAATCAGTGTTCGAAAGTAGGCAGGAGTGCCCTGGGGTCCTTGTCCAACCCCTGTTGAATGGAAGATTTTAAGGGTCATATACTGTAGGGTCAAACCTCAAGGACCCCCGGACCTCTCCTTAAGTTCGATCACTGATTATTGTCTGTCAAACAGAAAATTATTTTTGTATAAGCAAACTACACTTTCAACCAACGTAATCAGGACTGTAGCTATTGTGTGATGCTGTGAGGTTAAGACAAGGAGTATTGGACTTAAAAGGCTCATATGTGCATTGGTCTTTGGGCTACAGCTCATTTGTATTGAGAATCTTTTGATAGTTTGTTTTATTTAAGGCTGAAAAAAAATAAGTCTTGGTTCTCAGGCACCGCCCGCATCATCATAAAGTCTGCCCCCCATTTCATTTCTATTTCCATTTTAAAACAATAACCAAAAAAATCCTTAAATATTCAAAGTCCAACGGTAGTTAAATACTAAATTCCAGTATTTTACTCATCAAGGAATACATTTATAATACATTTATGTAGGGAGGTCCTTTCCGAGGTTGATTGTACACAACTGTTTACAGTATTTGGTTTCATACTAGTTTCAACAACAACAAAAACAAAAAACACTGCCTGCCCGCAATATTCTTTCAAAAGCCATTGCCTGAGAACCAATTCTTTTATTTTTTAAGCCTTATTATAGTGATATATTTAGCTTTGCTGGAGTATTAACAATTAGTATTTGTGAATACTTAAGAAAATACTGGAAATATTGATTTATTTGATTTAAGGTTATGGAGTCAGTTCCAGTCATCTTTTGTTTGACTTGACAATGGCATGTTCACTGTGAGTCTTGATATATCTCCATGTTTCAATTTTTTCTAAATGTTAAGGTCATTGATCTTTTTTATCTGGACCTTGTTTAACAAAGTGATCATAGCGCTACGTCTGTCGTAAATCAGTGTTATTGTGTAGGAGTTACGATGGTCGTAGCACTGCCATCAACCTTCATTTGTCGCAAGTCATGTCATCCCTTCACATTGTCCGTGTGTTGTTAACTTGTTAGCTTGTTAACATGAATATTCAGGAAGATAGTACTGTTCATGACTGTTCCAACCAATAAAAGAATCACAAAACAAATTGATGACGATGAATGAACCTAGAGGCACATCTACTTCAGTAGGAGGAGCGGTGGGGTAGCCGAGTGGTTAAAGTGTTCGCGTCACGCCGAAGACCCAGGTTCGATGGGTACAATGTGTGAAGCCCATTTCTAGTGTTCCCTGCCGTGATATTGCTGGAATATTGCTAAAAGCGGCGTAAAACCATACTCAATCACTCGCTCACTGCTGCAAGAGGAAGATGTGTTGGTTATGTATTCGGAATTCATAATTCCAAAACCATTCACAGAATGGCGTTTTATTGAACTGTTACAAAATGAATGAAGGAATGAAAACATCGTCAAAACCTTTCACGCTCCTGAGTAGTATATGCATATCCTCGGTGTTTTTTTTTCTTCAGTAATAGCAAGAGTGATGCAATCCAAAGAATTTTTGTCATGTACATATGTGTAATTAGGCTGATTCTAGTGTATGTATATTATGTGAAGACTACACTACAGATCGGTCATGTGTGTTAACAGGAGAGGGATGAACGTGGTGTCTACAAAACCTGTGAAATGTTGATGGGGGGGGGGGGGGGACAATGTTCCAAACAGCCTTCATTACTCTGTTGAAGGATTCCTGTAGTTCTCTACTTCATTTGAACTTAACACCAGGGAGGGGTCGGTAGTCGAGTGGTTAAAGCTTTGGCTTCTCAGTTTGCAAAGTGTGAAGCCCATTTCTGGTGTACTTCCACCGTGATATTGATGGAATATTACTCGGTGTAACACCAACACCATGACGTCACTAACACCATGAGGGAGGGAAGGGGATGTTGGTATCTTTGTTTTAACAATTTTCAGCGAATCTTGTTTTTAGGTTTATATGCAGCCTAGAGATCACGTGATTACAATGTTCGACTTAAGTCTCTAGCCTAGTGAAGATCTATTAATTGTTCTTGTCTGTAACATGCAAGGCTCTAATATTTCATCCTTAGATCAATTTTGGAAGTGTTTCAGTAGGCTGTGTTTCTGAACATTTTCTTTTGATTTCACATTTATCCATATTTTTGTGCATATACATATTTTTCATAATGTCTAAATTTAATTAAGTTAATTCTTCACTTGAAGAGATGGGCTATTTTTTAAGTGTTTATGGCATTCTTATCATATTAGATTATCCATATTCACCAGTTCCTATTTAATAGACATTCGTAAAACCTCTCCTCAGACATGGCTATTTAGGGTGTTGTTCAGATTGTTTCCGTCAGTTACTTTTCCCCCGTCAGGTAAAGTACTTGACATCAACCTTTAGCTTACTTAAAAAAAAAACTATTTGCACAGAAAAGTTGGCTGCTATATTCTCTTATTTTTCCCACACAAATATTCATTGTTGACATGAAGGTCAGGGTTGAAGTGTTAGATAATATTTGTGATTTATAGGACTCCTGACGGATACAGGTCAGGTTTAGACGGACTCCATGTCCTACATCATGGTTCCTTATATCTTCACTTCTCTAAAATCCAACCTCCTCACAGTGATAGCCCGGTCCCAGAGCTCTCTATACCAGAAGCCATGTCGGTCTATACTGTTGCTGCCATCAGTCACAGCTCCCCGCAGTGCTAGGCGTCTTTCAACCATGCTTTGTTTGTTGTTTAACGCCGCACTCAGCAATATTCCAGCTATATGACGGTGGTTTGTAAATAATCAAGTCTGGACCAGACAATCCAGTGATTGACATCATGAGTGTCGATCCACACAATTTGGATATGATGACATGCATCAACCAAGTCGGCGAGCCTGACCACCCAGTCCTGTTAGTCGCCTCTTACGACAAGCATAGTCGCCTTTTACGGCAAGCTAGGTTGCTGAAGACCTATTCTACCCCGGATCTCCACGTGGAGACAAGCATGGGTTGCTGAAGACCTATTCTACCCCGGATCTCCACGTGGAGACAAGCATGGGTTGCTGAAGACCTATTCTACCCCGGATCTCCACGTGGAGACAAGCATGGGTTGCTGAAGACCTATTCTACCCCGGATCTTCACGTGGAGACAAGCATGGGTTGCTGAAGACCTATTCTACCCCGGATCTCCACGTGGAGACAAGCATGGGTTGCTGAAGACCTATTCTACCCCGGATCTTCACGTGGAGACAAGCATGGGTTGCTGAAGACCTATTCTACCCCGGATCTTCACGTGGAGACAAGCATGGGTTGCTGAAGACCTATTCTACCCCGGATCTTCATGGGTCTACAACCATGCATGGAGTTGACCTCAAAATCAACTGACCAACAAGTAATCCCGAATACTCTTCCCCCAGGCTAAATAATTGTTAGTTTGTCAATATGAATTTGTATTTCATTTCAACAACCATGATGTGAGTTTAGTTGGAATGCAAGGGGGAGTTGGTGCTTCTCAGATAGTCTCGGACTAATCTAAATAAACAAACAATTCATCTGGGAAATAATAGGTCCTTCATAAACCTTTTCCCAATTCATTAGCATGGCATACACAGAGACGAACACGAAACTATGAATGTCACTACATTTAGGTCAGATTCTTGTAATGGCTGTTTGCTCACTGGTGGTAGCAACGACACCGGGAGTATAACTGAGTAGTAACGAGTGTGGCAAATGTGGGAAAGAAAAGGCAAGCATTTCGACTTAGATGTTGCACGTTCTCGTTAAAATCAGATGCTGGAGTCTCGTTAGGTTTTGTGTACTTGATCCCATTTCTTTTGCATCATTATCTCGTTCCACTAGCAGCCCAAACCCCTGGAGGTTGTTCAAAGTTAGCAGTGCAATAAGCCAGTAACTTTGTTCCAAAGCCTTTTCACAACTCATCAGTGACAGGATTCCACCATTTCTGTGACAAATAGTTTTATGATTTAGAAGCGAGATTGTGTTTTGTTCTTATGCTTGAACAATATTTGGAGTTTGTGTGGTTTCAGTTATAATGTTGATCACATACCAATGAATTAAATTTGTACAGAAAGACGACTTTTGTTTTCATTCCAAATAAAGTTGACCTGTGCAGAGTTGCATCCCTTAGATGAGTCTGGATCCACTTATCTGACATAAGTTTGGCATGATCTACCCGGGTACATGCAAAATGTAGTTATCAGAACACTTTTTAAAATTTAACTTTTGGCAAGAAAAATGATGTTCCAAGTCAAGTCGTTATTGGTTCCATTGCTGCTTGGTTTTGTCACGAATGAACAGTGAATTGATTGGATGTCCATTTTTAACATCATGTCATTCAAACCGGCCTCAAAACGAGAGTATAGTGGCAAATGGGTCCAGGGTCTTTTTCATAACAGACTGAAGATATAATACCCTGGACGATCGAGGATGGTATGCATTAACCATGTTGCATATGCACCGATGGCAGAAACCTTGGATTATGAGCCTTGGCTTGTCAGCTTGTCAGCACAATACCCATGACTGGGGGCCGTTCTACCAACGACATCCGCAGACTCTCCAGCCACATAAAACTCACATGCTGTAGTGGTAAACAGCATAAACCTAACTGTACATTAAGGAAAATGTTGTATTAAGAAAACAAGCCATATGAGTCAATAATTACAAGACAATGATTGAAAAGCAATCCCCAACATACTAAATATTTTATTGATGAATACAATCATTCTCAACAATCATAGGTCTGACAATAAAATCTCTGTATCTGGAGATGAAATAAATACTAAAAGCTGATTAGTCCCCATGTGGTAGCATGACTGAGGATGCAAATAAACAATGTTAGATGCGCAACTAAATCAACATTCTCCATTGATGTACATACTGCTGTTGTGTTGATAAAACCAGAAGCTATAGAACAAAAACGTCCAGTATGTGTAATACGGGAACAAGTCATGTCACCCTGAAGAAAATATAATGAAACGTACATTTTCTGGCATAAATATTTTACCTCATTTCAACAAACATGTTCTATGTACAATGCTTTTGAAGTGCACCATGGAGCCATGCTTCCTCCATGACTGAGATCCTGTAGTAGTGTGCCCTGCTCAAACACCACAATAACCAAAGCACTATAATTATTGATTATACTTCACAGGATGGGAGTTCCAGCTCTATAAAGTTAACAGCCTTTGTCCAAGGATTATCTCGATTATCTCCATTCTATTGCTATAAATACCCAGGGTCCCGTTCCACAAAGCCATCTTAGCGCTAAGGTGATCGTTACAACCATACTTTAACACTGACTTACGATAGTTGTAGCGCTAAGATCGCTTTGTGGAACGGGCCCTGGACCCATAGGGTACTTATCATGATCGAATGAATATATAATACAATGGATAATCGATTACCATCTTTGACTTGGCACCAATCATTTAGGTCAAACAAGGCCATGGGGCCCCTTTCCACGATCGTACGGAGTTGTTTATCACTTCGTGGAACAGGACCCATGGGGCCTCAGTTTATTACAGGTGATCAACAGAGTTAAGACCGTCTTAGCGCTAAGATCACTTAGAGGAACGGAGCCCAAGGCCCCTTCTCATCCCTCTCTTGACAATTCTATCAAATAAATATATCACTGGTGAATGATATTATCACTGAAAATCTGACTATAACACACATCCTCTGAAGGTAAATCAACAAGACAACTGTCCGAAATAACAGATGGAAATCGAGCTCAGAATCTTTCCCAACCGTTATGACACTGAAAGATGGGAATCACACATTTGCTGTCATTCTAAAATATCATGCTGAAACTCCAATACACTCAACATTCAAATTAAATATTTCATGATTATGCCAATCTGTGACTAATCTGTCCACACAAAGAATCAAGACAGCTATGCAGGGTATGAATCAGACAGTCTAGTCTTGATGAGACACAAAACAAATTATCTTTCAATCCCGACCGTCCTGTAAAGAAATTATGAACAACTGCAGTCCAGCCAAGTCTCAGGCTATACACTGAAACACCTTCCTTTTTCTTTGTTGTAATACTTGATGCCACAATCAGCGAATGCATTTGTCACTTCCACTCCAAACTGCAATGCAGCTCTGACACTGTA